CATGCAGGTCGTAGCACTGATCTTCATGAAAACCTGCCCGATTCGCTGATGAGCTTGCACTTGGGGTAGGACGGGAGATGGGTAAGTGACAGCAGGCTGGGTCTGATCTGGAGGTGGCGTGGAGCAAGAGCAGAGGCTGCCCGAGAGACCTGGGCACACTGGCTTCCCCAGGTTGGAAGCAGCTTGGTGGAGCTCCACTGGGTCCACAGTGTGCAATGAATTACTCAACAAACTTGGGACCAGCACTGGGCTAGGGGCTGAGCTCCAGGAATAATGAAGGTGTGATGCCCGGAGCCCTCAAGGACTCACAATCTAATGAGAAAACATGCACCATGCCCTGAAGAGGATGGTGTACCTAAAACAAATTACTTAGGAAGGACGGTCTTGGTGTTTCGAGTCTCAGACTACACAGTCCCATTGGTGTGGCATCTGCTGAGGGTGGTGGATGGCACTGCTTGTGGGGAGGAAGGATCATGTGGTGAGCCGGGGAGCAGAAAGAGAGAAAGAGCTCTTCCATCTGCTGCTTCACTCCTCAAATGGCCACAACAGCCAGGGTGGGGCCAACTGAAGCCAGGATCCAGGAACTCCAGGTCTCTAACTTGGGCCATCTCTCTCAGGTGTATTGGCAGGTCACTGGATAGGAAGTAGAGCAGCTGGGACTGAAATCGGTGCTCCTCTGGGATTCTAGCATCTGAAGAGCAGCTTAACCTGCTGCGCCACGATACCAGCCCCCAGGTTAGTCTTTTTACTGTTGAATTTTAGGAATTCTATGTATATTCTGCATATAATTTAGAAATATTTTCTCCCATTCTGTTGGTTTTCATTTCACCTTCTTAATGATGTCTTTTGCAACACAAAGTTTAAAAATTGGGATAGAATCCAATGTATCTTTTCTTTGGCCATTTATGCTTTGAATATCAAACTGGAGAAATCATTGCTTTATTCAAGCTCATGGAAATTTGCACCCATGTTTCTTTCTAAGAATTTTATGTTTTAGCTCTTATGTTTAGGTCTTTGACCCATTTTGGGTGAAATTTTGTACATGGTGCGAGATAGGATTCCAAATTCATTCTTTTGCATGTAGATTACCAGTTTTCCCAGTACCATTTGTTGAAAAGACTGTTATGGGCACTCTCGTTAAGCAAACCACCTATCGGGGTTGGTGTGGCACAATGAGCTAAGCTGCTGGCTTATTGGAGCTCTAGTTGCTTTGCTTCTAGTCCAGCTCCCTGCTAATGTACATGGAAAAGCAGCAGAAGATGACCCAAGTGTTGGGCCTCTATCACCCATGTGGGAGACCAGGATGGAGTTCTGGGTTCCTGGCTTCGGCCTGACCCAGCCCTGGCTGTTGTGGCCATTTGTGGAGTGAACCAGTGGATAAAAGATCTCCCTATCTCTGCCTCTTTCTATCACTCCACCTTTAAAATAAATAAATATTTAAAAATGAAATATGAAACAACCTGCTTTTGAAATTCAGCTTGTAATTTTTTTTATTAAGGGCATTTGTGTATGCTAATAAGCATACATTTATACCATCTGTTAAAAATAAATTTCTAGGGGTTGGCTTTGTGGCATGGCAGGTTAAGCCACTGCCTGTGATGCTGGCATGCCATATGTGTGCCAGTTTGTGTCCCAGCTGCTCCACTTTTGATTCAGCTCCTTGCTAATGCCCCTGGGAGGGCAGTGGAAGATGGCCCAGTATTGAGCCCCTGCACCCCAATGGGAAACCCAGATGAAGCTCCAAGCTCCTGGCTTGCCTAGTCTCAGCTGTTGTGGCTGTTTGGGGAGTGAACCAGCGGATGGAAGATCTCTCTCTCTCTCACTCTCTCTCTCTGTCTCTCTGTAATTCCGCCTTTCAAACAAAATAAATGAATCTTGAAAAAATATTTCTGTTGAAACAATAAACATAGAGGAAAATACAAATATCTCAAGAGTTGAACTTGACCAGTTTTCACGAAGTATTTTAATCTGAGCAACCACCATTCAGACCCCAGCAGTACAGTCACTCACCCCACAGAAATCCCCTTCTTTCCCTTCCTAGTCACTACCTCCAACCTCCTCCCCAGTGGTAGCCCCTATCCTGGATCCTGCCACTGTCAATTAGTTTTGCCTGGTTTTTTTTTTTTTAAGATTTATTTATTTGTTTGAAAGTCAGAGTTACACAGAGAGAGGAGAGGCAGAGAGAGAGAGAGAGAGAGAGAGAGAGAGAGGTCTTCCATCTGATGGTTCACTCCCCAATTGGTCGCAACCGCTGGAGCTGCGCCGATCTGAAGCCAGGAGCCAGGAGCTTCTTCCAGCTCTCCTACATGGGTACAGGGGCCCAAGGCTTTGGGCCATCTTCTACTGCTTTCCCAGGCCATAGCAGAGAGCTGGATTGGAAGTGGAGCAGCTGGGACTTGCCGGCACTGCAGGTGGTGGCTTTACCTGCTATGCCACAGTGCTGGCCCCTTAATCTGACTTTTTAAAAATCAGACTTGGAGCTCACATTATGGAGTAGTGGGTCAAGCTGCTGCTTGGGACTCCGGCGTTCCATCTGGGCACTGGTTTGAGTCCTGGCTGCTCCACATCCAATCTAGCTCCCTACTAATGCATCTGGGAAAGTAGCAGATGGCCCAAGTGCCCCTGCACCCACATGGGAGACCCAGATGAAGTTCCTGCCTCCTGACTTTGGCCTGACCCAGCCCTGGCCATTATGGTCATTTGAGGAGTGAACCAGTGGATGGAACATCTCTCTGTCTCTCCTTCTCTGTAATGCTGCCTTTAAAATAAATAAGTAAATTTAAAATTTTTTTAAAAGTCGATGAAAAATAAAAACAAACAAACAAAAGACTCATTCTGGCTGCTGCCTTGAAGAAAGACTGTAGTTGGAATCACTCATGCTATAACCCAGGTAAGAGATGATGGTGGTTTGGTCCAGCGGGTAATGGCAGTTGCGGTAAGGAATGACCGCTTTCTGGATTGATTTTGTTTTACATTTTTATTTATTTTATTTACTCAAAATGCAGGCAGACACACATATAAGGATAGACAGAGACAGAGAGATCTCTCATCTACTGGTCCATTCCCCAAACGTGTGCCAATAGTCAGGGCTAGGTCAGGTCAAAGCCAGGAGCCTAGAACTCAGTCTGGCTCTCCCACATACCTGGTAGGGACCCCACTACTTGAGCCACACCTGCTGCATTCCAGAGTATGCCTCAGAGCTGGAATCAGGAGGAGTGGAGCTAGGACTCGAACTCGGGCTCTCTGCTGGGGGACCCCTGGAGACCTTTGGAAGGTCAGACTGAGAAACCAGCTCCTGCACTGGCTGCGGGGCATGAGGGCTGGCTGGGTTTAGCATTCCAGGCTCAGAGGCTCTCAGTTTTCTTGAGTCACCTATCGTTGGGTATGTAGGTAGTTTCCAGGTTCCCACGGGCGCAGAGTTGGGTGGTGGGGAACTTCCTCGTAGAAAGATCTCTACACCATCAAGAATGACTTCCCGAGAGTAGATTCAAGCCCGTGAAGGGAGCGTTTCCTGACCTTTGCTGGCTGTGCATCACTTGTGCAGGTATTTACCTGGAAGCAGTGTGGGGCAGTAGTTAGAGCATGACCTTTGCTGCAGGAGGCCTGGGGCAAATCCCAACCCTGCTGTCACTGCCTGAGCCAGTGAATTGCCGTTTCTATGCCTTTGTTTCTTCTTCTATAAGTTAGGAATGATAATAGTCCATACTGTGGCGGTGGCATTGACTGAGTTAACAAAGCCTGGCAGAAGCACTGTGCAAATGTCAGTTGTCTTTGTTATTTTTCTGTACATTGACTTCACATTAAAAAGAAACCCAAATACAAGTGGTTTTTTAAAAAAACTTTTAAAGAGAAGCTTCTTTTTTTTTTTAAATTATTTATTTGAAAGGCAGAGTTACAGACAGAGAGAATGGTCCTCCATCAGCTGGCCCACTCCCTAAGTAGCTGCCACTGCTGGAACTGGGCCCAGCTGGGGTCAGGAGCTTCTTCTTGGGTCCTCTGCAAGGACCCAAGCATTTGGGCCATCTTCTGCTGCGTTCCTAGGCCATTAGCAGGGAGCTGGATGGGAAGAAGAGCAGCTGGGACTCCAACCTACACCCATATGGGATGTCGCTGCTGCTAGGCTAAGCACACTACAACGCACCGCCGGCCCCCAAATACAAGTGTTTTTAAAAGAACGTTTATTTATTTTTTTTTAAGATTTATTTATGTATTTGAAAGGCAGAGTTACAGAGGCAGAGAGAGAGAGAGAGAGAGAGATCTTCTATCTGCTGGTTCACTCCCTAAATGGCTGCAACAGTCATAGCTGTGCCAATCTGAAGTCAGGAGCCAGGAGATTCTTCCGGGTCTCCCACGCGGGTGCAGTGGCCCAAGGACCTGTGCTATCTCCCACCGCTTTCTCAGGTCATAGTAGAGAGCTGGATCCTAGTGGAGCAGCCAGGACTTGAACTGGCGCCCATATGGGATGCCAGCACTGCAGGCGGCGGCTTCACCCGCTACACCACAGCGCCGGTCCCAGAATAACGTTTATGTTCACATCTTACAGGAAAAATGGTGTCCCTTGCATGGAAAAAAACAGGCAATCATAAAATAAATTTATATGATGGAAACAAAACCATGCTATTGAATGTTGGATAATGCAGAGCCAAGTAAAGGTGTTAGGTGTGCAAGTGCTTACGACGCTGATCTGAGGCAGGCCGCTCTCAGCCGAGAGAAAAGAAATGACAGAGATCTCGGTGGGCTCTCATCCCACAGGAAGGCCTTAGGTGACAGATCGCTACAGGGTGCCTGGGTTCACACAGGACCGAGAGCGCTCGCAGCTCTCGATTTTACAGGTCAGCCCGTGCGTGCGTGCGTGTGTCCGTCCTGACCCTCAGGCAGCGCGGCCTGAGGTGAGGTCTCAGGTGAGTCGGTGCTGGGCGGTCGGCCTGGCGGCCACCGGGTTGGAGCTGGGACCGAGCTGGCCGAGCGTGGGGGCGGGGCGGGGGCGGGGTCTCCCAGGGGGCGGGGCCGAGCCTCGCGGAGCGGGAGCCGGGGCCACAGCTGGGAGTCGCGGCCCCACACCGGGCCCGGGAGGAGTCGGGGCGCCGGCGGCTGGCGGTGAGTTCTGTATTCCCGCGGGGGGCGAGGAGACCCGGCACTGAGGACACGGGCCCCGGGACACGGACACAGCGGGCCGGGGGAGGGGCTTCCCTGGTGTGACTGGGAGATGGAAGGACAGGAGAGCTGTAGACTTGGGGAACCTGCTGGCGGGCGCTGGCTCAGGGGGAGGTGGGCGCCTGAGGGCGAGGGAGGAACTTCCGGGGCCCCGGCAGGGAGCCTTTGAGGAGGGGGGAGAGGCTCTGGCTCGAGGGTGGGCCGCGAGGGGCTGTGGAGCGAGAACCTGCTGCTGGGTGAGTCTTCTTCTGGAGAGCGGGTGGTCCGGCTTTGGGGCTGGGGGGGGGGGCTCGCCTTCCTCCCTGCGGGCCTCAGTTTCCCCACTTTTCCGAATCAGGGCCCGCCCGGGGCAGCATTTCCCTTCCCCCTCTCCTTGGTCTCCCTCTGCTTTGCCCCTCAGGCTGCTGGAGCTGCCTTCTGGTCCCACCTGAATTCCAAAAGAGCGGGAGTCTTGTCTCTGAGTTCGTTCAGGCTCTTCCCCCGTGGGCTGCGGCCTGGCCGCCGCCTCCTGCGAGGTCTGTGTTTCACAGACGGGAAAAGCCTGCCCTGTCATCCCTCCCCTGGCCTCTTGGTGACGCCCTCACTGCCCCCTCTGTGCCCCTGAGCCCTGAAGCTGCCAGAGCGCCTGAGTTTGTTGGCTACTCAAACGGGCTGTAGGCATACCGGAGTCTGAGGCTGCAAGTGGCCCATCTCACCTCATCTCTCTCTCCCAGGGCAGAATTCCCCTCCTGCTCATGCCTGGTGACAGGGCGCTTGTTATTGATGAGGTGGCTGCTCGGTGTCCTGCCACTCTGGGAGCATGTCGCTAAACTATGTGGCTTGCAGATATTTAAAATGTGTAAAAAATTATTTTCATTTTATTTGAAAGGGAGAGAGGTGGAGAGAAAGAGATTTTTCACCTGCTGGTTCACTCCCCGCATGCCTACAACAGCCAGGGCTGGGTCAGGTTGAAGATAGGAAGCTGGAATTCAATCCTGGTCTCCCACAGGGGCTGCAGGGACCCAAGTACTTGAACTATCACCTGCTGCCTCCCCAGGGTGTGCATTCGCAGGGATCTGGATTGCGAGCAGAGGAGCTGGGCCTCAAACCCAGGCACTCGAGTGTGGGATGTGTAAGGGCTATGCCAGATACTCGCCCTTGTGGGTTGCACTTTCTACCCCTGGCTTCCATGTCTGCTTCCAGGAGTCGGGCAGAGTAAACCCTTTATTGCATTCAATCCATTCTTTATCCAGGCACTAGATGAGATGCTGGAAATGGGAGAATCAGAATCACTCCCTACCCTTGTGGAATGCCCTTTGGAAAAGAGCAGACGACAATGAGATAAGCAAATCTGTGGCACGTCAGGTAGTTAGAAGTGCCATGGAGCTGCAGGAGTTGAGTATTGAAATGTTAGATGGTGTAGTCAGGGAGGGCCTGCTGGAGACGGTGACAACTGAGCAAAGTCTTCAGGAGGTGAGGGGTGAGTGAGTGCCTGGGGAGATGTCAGTGTGCTGGCAGAGGGGAAAGCTTGTGCAAAGGTCCCGGGGCAGCAGAATGACAGGTAGGAGCAGGCCTGCTTTGTTCTAGGGACACAGAGGAGGCCAGTGTGGCTGGAGCAGGGTGAGTGTGGTTTGGGAAGCCACCGGACAGAATGAGTGTGGAGACGTAGGGCCTGGGGCTGTGAGGCCACTGCGCAGGGCCTTGAAGATCACTGCGAAGGCTTTGATTGGCACTCTGAGGGAGGTGGGAGGACTGCAGGGCTTGGAGCAGAGGAGTCACCTGCTGTGACCTTGGGTCTAACAGTCTGTCCAGTTGTGGTGTGGCAAACAGACTGGAGACCAGACTCGGTGAGGGCGGGTGGAGTCGGTGGGGGCCACTGCCGTCTCCCTGGAGAGAGCCCATGGGGCTTGCATCATGGCTGGCAGGTGATAAGAACATCTCAGGCTCTGATGTGGGATGTGTTTCCAAGGTTGGGCCAGTAGGATTTGGGATGCAGGAGAAAGGTGGAATGAAGGATGGCTCTGAGCTTTTCGCCCCCAAGCAACTGAGATGGGAGCTGTTGGGGACCCATCAAGAGGTTGGTTTTATGCTTGTTAAATTTGATGTGCCCTTTAGCACTGCTGTGCTATCGAGCTAGGCACTTGGGAAGTTCAGGGGAGAGGTTGGAGCTGGAAATCTTTGGGGCTCATGTTTTTTTTTTTTTTTTTCCCCAAGCTGTAAGAGCAGGGCTCATTTAGTGAGGAGGGGTGGTGGTGCAGAGGTCCAGCCAGTGAGCTCTGGAGCCAGTCGAGGAGACGGGGAGAGCAACCTGTGGGCAAGAGGAGAGAGCTGGGGTGTTCTGGACGGGCTTGGGGCAAGTGCTGCAGCCCGTGATGCTGCCCAAAGCAGTCTCCCTGAAGCTGGGCTGGAGGCAGCTGAAGGGACCGAAAGGGAGAGAGAGCAGTACAGGGAGCCTGATGCCAAGGTAGGGGAAAGGGGATTGGCTCTGAGAGGGGAAGAGGGGTCGAATGAGGGCTTTGTTTTTGTGATGGGGAAATTACAGTCTGCCTGTGCTGGTGGGAACTGTTCCTTAGAGAAGCTTGGTGAGTGGGAGGGAGAATGGATGATGGCTGGGTTGGGAGGGGCCTGGATCCAAGGCCACAGGAGGACACAGGACAGTTGAGAATTGGGGCATTGTTGCCCTGCCCCGTCCTGCAGGGTCTGCGGTGGAATTTTTTTTTTTTTTTTAAGATTTATTTATTTACTTGAAAGGCAGAGTTACAGACAGAGAGAGGTAGAGAGAGGTCTTCCATCCACTGGTTCACTCCCCAGTTGGCCACCACAGCCAGGCCTGGGCCAATCTGAAGGCAGGAGCCAGGAGCTTCTTCCACGTCTCCCACAGGGGTGCAGGGATCCAAGCACTTGGGCCATTTCCACTGCTTTCCCAGGCCATCAGTGGAGAGCTGGATCAGAAGTGGAGCAGCTGGGACTCAAACTGGCACCCATATGGGATGCTGGCACTGCAGGCGGAAACTTAACCTACTGTGCCACAGCTCCAGCCTGCCCGGTGGAGATATTAACACTCCGGCAAAGCAGTTGGCTCTTGGCCCCTGGGAGGCCAGCTGGCTGTGGTCTCAGGAAGTTGTCGGGGGCTCAGACCTGGGCTTACAGACCTGGCAGGGCCCACGGGAGTCTGCTTTTCAGCAAGAAGCTGCCCCTCTCCTTACCTGCGCCTCACCGTGAGGAGCACAGTCAGGACTCCAAAGTGGAGTCAGACTGATGCACTTAGTCTGAGGAGGGGACGTCTAGCCAAGCGATAAAGGGGTGAGAATGAGGGTTTAGGGACCATTTGTGTGAACGAAGTACTCAGAGAAGAGCTCTCTCTCTCTCTCTCTCGCTCTCTCTCTCTTTCTCAATTTAAACTGAAGTGGGAGAAACTCAGAGCTAGACATCATGAAGAACTTCTCAGCTGCTTAGTGAGGACAGCACCAAGGCCAGGTCCTTGTCCCCAGCTGTTAAGGGTAATCCCTGCTCAGGGACAGGAAGCTGGCTGAATCGGTTCTAAGGGCTTTTCCCTGCTCTGGATCCGGAAGGCCAGCCCCAGTGGGACTTCCCAGCTGCTGGGGGAGGACAGAGCAGCGAGCCCCATGACTTGGGCCTGCCTCTCCCTTGCTGTGTCCACAGAACCCTGACGTCGCTGGGGCGTGTCCAGCTTGGGAAGCTGTCAGGCTTGGTGCGCTCACAAAGAGCCCTGCTTCCTTGCTGCGGGCTGCTTGTGGGCAAGCGTGTCTGAGGGTGTGTCTCCTGTCTGCTCTCGGTGGGGAGTGTGGTGGCTGCACAAGGTTTAAGGCCAGAACTACCAAGAATGACCTTGCTCAGCAGCTTGGCCGGCTCTGGCTTCCCGCCCGTCCTTTCCGATTTCCCCTGGAGGTGGAGTCTGTAGACAACCCAGGCTTGCCAGTCCAGTGTCACTGAGTGCTTGTCTTCCCAGCGTGCCTGCTTCCTGCAGCCCTAATGGGCTCTCCTGGGGGAGTGTGCTCTAGTCTCTCCCAGGGAGCAGGAACGAGCAGGGGTCCCTCCCGAGCTTCCTCTGCCCTGTCTCACCTGTACTTCCAGTCTTTTAAAATTGCCAGACTGGGTGCAGGGAAAGTGCTGACCCTTTTGTGGGGGGCTGTTCTCAGAGGGAGGGTGGACAGGGAGGTGTTTGCCCCAGGTCCTGGGCAGGGGTGGTGCTGGTGGGGGGGCTGAGATCCACCCCAAGGCTAAGCCCAGAGCCCCGTCTTGCCCCTTCTTACCCTCCTCGGCTCCTCTGCAGGGAGGTGGGCACAGGGGGAGACCTGTTTGGTCAGCGAGGACTCTCTTAGTCCCTGATTTACTGTGGCCTCTGCAGTGGCCTTTCCCTCCCTCCCTCCCTCCCAAGCTGCCGGACACATGGTAACCTCACTTCCTGTTTCCCCTGTGGCCAGCACAAGGGCTCCAGCCGGCATGGTTGGAGATTTCTCCTTTTGCTTTCCTCGGTGGACAGATGGGGATGGGCACGGAGTATTCCTCCCCTCTGTTGTTGGGTTTCTGACTCATGAACGTTCTTACCGTGCCTGTGCTGGGCCTCGTGTGCTGTCTGCCTTAGAGAGGCCAGGATGAGTAAGACCCAGGCTTCAACGTGGGCCAACCCGGGGCGAGACACGTCAACAACCGACCGGAAGGATACAAAATCCCCAGGCCCTTGGCCTCTGCTGCCTCGAGCCTCCTGGAATGTCCCTGGTTGTGTAGAAAGCGGCAGGCATCCCTCTGCCTTTTCCATCCCTACGCCTTTCACTTTCGCTTTCTCTGGGCAGTCCCCAGCCGCTGTCCCTGGACCTGTGCATTTGCAGACCGGACAGGACAGATTGTGTCTCCTGTTTTCCGTGCCTGAAGCTCCTGAAGGTCTCCAGTCGTTAAATTCTCAGGACTGGCAGTCAGCAGCTGGGCCCTGAGCAAAGCAGGTGGCAGCGTGTGCGTGTGGTAGGGAGTGTGTGGGAGCAAGTGAGGGGCTCAGGGCAAGTGTGTGTGTGTGCGTGTGCGTGTGTGCATGTACTTGTGTGTACATGTGTATGTTGGAGGGGGATGGTGCACTAGCAAGCTTTGAAACTCTGTAGCTTGCATGGTGACTTTTTACTTTACCTGGATTGGTATCCTTCTCTGTTTTAAGTTTTATACATTTACTTGAAAGGCAGAGAGAGAGAGAGAAAGAGAGAGAGAGAGAGATCTCTTCCATGTGCTGATTCACTCTCCAAATGCCCACAACAGCCTGGGCTAGGCCAGGCTGAAGCCAGGAGCCAGAAACTTCATCTGGATCTCTCACATGGGTGGCAGGGGCCCAAGTACTTGCCATCACCTGCTGCATCCTGGGCTGTGCATTAGCAGGGGGCTATATCAGAAGCAGAACTAAAACCAGACACTCCCATATGGGGGATGTAGGCATCCCAAGTGGCAGCTTAACCCACTGCACCACAGTGCCTGCTGCACCATAGGTTGGGTTCTTGTAGCAGTTTTCTGGGTTATGTGCCCTGGAGTGGTTTTGGGACTACTCTGGGGGAACCCAACAATAAGGGAATTCAAGGCAGGCCTTCCACAGTTACACTGCTTGGGATCAAATCCTAGCTCTGCCTTTCTAATTGTACAAATCACTTAAGCCTCTTTGTGCTTAGGTTTCTTTATTTTATTATTTTGTTTATTTATTTGAAAGTCAGAGTTACAGAGAGAGGGAGAGAGAGAGAGGTCTTCCATCTGCTGGTTCACTTCCCAATTGGCTGCAACGGCCAGAGCTGTGCCGATCCGAAGCCAGGAGCCAGGAGCTTCTTCCAGGTCTCCCACACTGGTGCAAGGATGAAAGGACGTAGGCCATGTTCTACTGCTTTCCCAGGCCACTGCAGAGATCTGGATTGGAAGTAGAGCAGCCAGGACTCAAACTGGCACCCTTATGGGATGCCGGCACTACAGGCGGCAGTTTTACCTGATATGCCACAGTGCCAGCCCCATTTTTAAAGCTTCTTGAATCAGGGTTCAAGCATGGCTATGGGAGCCGGCAGTCTTGATTTAACTCTTGGCTCCTTTACTTGAGTCACTTTCTTGCCTTCTCTGAGTCATAATTTACACATTGGTGTGATAGGAATCTTGGATTGGGCAACGTCTGAGGTTAGAACTATGACCAAGTTGGATGTGGGGTGAGACTGGCTTGCGCCCCACCCCCTGCCTGTGCCCTGGAGAAGTTCTGTACTGACCACACTCTCTCCCCAGGTTGTGAAATGTGCTCTCAAGAGGCTTTCCAGGCACAGAGGAGCCAGCTGGTGGGGCTGCTGGTTTCGGGGTCCCTGGAGGGCTTCGAGAGCATCCTGGACTTGCTGCTGTCATGGGAAGTTCTCTCCTGGGAGGACTATGAGGGCCTCCGCCTCGTGGGCCAGCCTCTGTCCCACTTGGCCAGGCGCCTCCTGGACACTGTCTGGAATAAAGGCACTTGGGGCTGTCAGAAGCTCATCGCAGCTGTCCAGGAGGCCCAGGACAGCAGCCAGTGCCCTGAGCTGCATGGCTGCTGGGACCCCCACTCACTCCACCCAGCCCAGGACCTGCAGAGTCACCGGCCAGCCATCGTCAGGAGACTGTACAGCCACGTGGAGGGCGTGCTGGACCTGGCGCTGGAGCAGGGCTTCATCAGCCAGTACGAATGTGATGAAATCAGGCTGCCCATCTTCACGTCATCCCAGAGGGTAAGGCTCTCTGTCCTGGTCAGCAAAAGTCATGGGGAGAGGGTGGTTGGTCCTTACGAAATCAGCTCTGTGGGGTAACTGTGTGGCCTCCCCTAAAAAGAAAGGCAGGCAGGTGCACGTTGCTCTCGATGGTTGGAAATAGACCTTGTGACAGAAGAAGTGTGGTGTGGTCAAGGGCTTCCGTTCTGCAACCAGCATGGTGCAGCATTGAGCTGCATCTTCAGGCTCCTCTATGGAAGCAGAAGGTTTTTGGGAGAAGTCAATGAACTGATTTGTGTGCTGCTTTGAGGAGTGCTTGGCACATAGTTAATATCATCAGCCTGTTAATCATCATGACTTCCCTCATTCCTGTTGCCAGTGCTTGTACACTTTGATTGCTGTCTTTTACAAATTTTATTTATTTATTTTTATTTATTTGAAAGGCAGAGAAAGAGGGAAGGAGAGAGGGAGAGGAAGGTTGGGGAGAGAGAGAGAGAGAGAGAGAGAGAGAGAAATGAGACAAAGATCTTCCGTCTGCTGGTTTACTCCCCAAATGCCTGAACAGCTAGGGTGGGGAAGCTGAAGCCAGGAGTCAGGAACCCCATCTGGGTCTCCCTTGTGGGTTGCAGGGGCCCAAGTATATCGTCCAGCATCTGCTACCTCCAAGACCCATTAGCAAGAAACAGAGTAGCTGGGACTCGGAATGAGCTCTCAGATATGGGATATGGGCAACTCAAGTGGTGGCTTAACGTGCCAAGCCACAATGTCCTGCTCTCATCTATTTTTTAAATATATATATTTGTTGTTCTAGTAAGTTTAGATGAGGCTAGGTGGAAACTGATAAAGTAAGCTAATCAGTCTTCAAGCGTGGTTGAAAACTGGGTCATGGTGGCCAAGTATTTATAGAGCAGACCCTGTGTGGACCCCAAACGCAGTGCACACAGAGCCTGCAGTTATACCTTGAGCACCACCTCCAAGGAGATTACAGAAGACATATGGGTCATCGTACCTACTTTGGTGTCTTATATGACCTGTTGGGGGCCAAAATCAATGCACCTGAGAAGTCATAAGCTTCTGTCTTGTCATCTTTGATCAAGTGTTTGACGGTGTAGTCTGGTCCCAAAGCTCTGAGGGGTTTGTAGAAGGAAGCCTAGATTTCTTGGGACCATAGGAGGCACGACATGAATAGAAGAAGTATTTGGATTAGTGAATAAAAAAATGAGCCAGGCCAGCGCCGCGGCTCACTAGGCTAATCCTCCGCCTAGCGGCGCCGGCACACCGGGTTCTAGTCCCGGTTGGGGCGCCGGATTCTGTCCCGGTTGCCCCTCTTCCAGGCCAGCTCTCTGCTGTGGCCAGGGAGTGCAGTGGAGGATGGCCCAGGTGCTTGGGCCCTGCACCCCATGGGAGACCAGGAAAAGCACCTGGCTCCTGGCTCCTGCCATCGGATCAGCGCGGTGCGCCGGCCGCAGCGCGCCGGCCGCGGCGGCCATTGGAGGGTGAACCAACGGCAAAGGAAGACCTTTCTCTCTGTCTCTCTCTCTCACTGTCCACTCTGCCTGTCAAAAAATAAAAAAGAAAAAAAAAAGAAAAAAAAAATGAGCCAAAAAAGAAATCATAATGGAAATTAGAACATATTCAGAACCAAACAACAGTGAGAATATTATTATCAAATTCTACAGGATTGCAGCTAGGGCAGGACATAGAGGGAAATTTATAACCATTTAAGGTTATGATTTATAACCATTTAAGCTCAGATTTGGAAAGGAGAAAGGCCGAATTTTAAAGGGTTAAAATTATTTTAGGAAAAGTCTAAGAAGACAACCATAACCAATACTGAATGTGGAGACTGAGCTGAGTGAGTGGAAGGGGCAGTGGGCCCTAGATCTGAAGACTGTGGATTTCACAGGAGCCGCTCTGCCTGATGCTTATGTTTTCAGAATCTAATTCTCTCTGCCCTGCCTTTGAGCTCTGACAGTCTGTGATTCGCTGATGTCATGGACTTCTCTCAGTGGCTGAACTTCTGATGGACTGTGGGTGGCACTTGCGTTGTGTCCAACTAACATTTGGATATTTTAGTTTCCTGTAGAGAGATGGCTGTCATTGATTTCGGGTTGAGGATAGAAAAATGCTATGGAATAAAACAAAATGCAAATAAAGAACTAAGTCTAGGGTGTATGTTTGGCATAGGGTTAATTAAGACACCATTTGGAAAGCTTGTGTCCTGTGTTGGGGTGCCCAGGTTTGCGTCATACCTCCACTCCTGAGTCTAGATTCCTGCTAATATGCATCCTGGGAGGCAGAATTTGATGATTCAAGTTGTTGGGTCCCTGCCACTCCAGTGGGAGAACTGGATTGAGTTCCAGGCTCCTGGCTTCGGCCTGGCCTACTCCTGGCCACTGTGGGCATTTGGGGAATGAACCAGTGGATGGGAGATGGCCCTGTTGGCCTTTCAGATTAAAAAAGAAGAAGAAACTGCCCAAATCATGTCTCTGGGAGGCAATCCAGTTAGAATTTGAAGCCAGGCCTGTTTTTCTCCAAAGCCTGTGCTCCTCTCCATCATAATATGTGGCAGCTTGGTGTGGCAAACTTGTTCAGTTGGGTGTAGCAGTGATTAGGCAACCTGAGGCTGACAACAGCAGCTGTGAGACCAGCTGCCCATCTGACTCATACACCTGCTGAAGTTGATGGGCTGAGGTGTCAGACTGAGCCTGGAGTTGCTTGGCTCCTACCACAATAATAACTTAAACACTTATTCACTGGGAACTGTAGGAAATGCCTACAGAAAGTGTGCACATTTTATAGATATGACATAAATAGACTCCCATAACCCAGGGTGAGAGATAGAATGCCACTCTTACCCAGGCCCTTTTCCAAGTAACATTAGCACAGGTATCCATTATCCAAAGGAATGTTCATCATTTTTTGCCTTAACATAATTTTAGCACTATTTATTTCAAAATAAATTCCCAAACAATAGATTATTTTTATTTTGAAAAACTGAGTAGCAAGCCAAACATAGCTGCGTAAGGCAAGGGCCAGTTGCTCTTTGTTGGATAAAAGTTTTCGGGGCAGAGAAGCCAAACAGACAGTCTCAGGGTCATGGTCTGGCTTCCCCCTCCCTGGGAGGCTATAAGGGCCCCTGTGGGAAGTTGGTGAATGGGGTTGTGAATGAGTCTGGGGAAATACGGGGCTCACTATAGCTGGAGGACCTGGTAGGCCTGACACAAATTAGATACTGGTTGTCCAGCAGGAGTATGGTCAGAAGAAGCGGACTGTTGGGTACTTTGGGTGGGAAGCTTGCCAGGGGCTGTTCTATCTCCCAGGAGAAGGTCAAGGCTAAGCACTGCTGTAGGGTGAAATGAATGTCCTCAACTGACTCAGGCAGCAGGAGCTGAGAGAAGGAATGATATTGGTTCATGGTGAAGACAAGGAAAATATAAATAAGGTGTAGGGGTATGCTTGCTCAAATAGCTTGGAGATAACTGCCCTCAACATGTATGTGTCTTTTACAATCAAATCTATTTAATTATTCAAAAGGCAGAGACAGAAAGAGAGAGTAAGACAGAAAAAGAGAGAGAGACAGAGACAGAGAGATATCACCTATCCACTGTTTCACTCCCCAAATAGTCAGTGCTGGGCCAGGCTGAAGCCAGGAGCATGGAACTCAAGCCACATCTCCCAAGTAGGTGGCAGGGACACAAGTCCTTCAGACGTCGTCTGCTGCCTTTCAGAGTGCACATTAGCAGGAAGATGAAGGCAGAGCCAGGAGTAGAACCCGGGGCACTCTACTGTGAGATGTGGGCATCCCAAGTGGCGTCGTAACAGCTGTACCAAATGCTTGTTCTGTCTTGAGTCACTGCTCTGTTCTGTTTGTACTTTCCATGTTGGCTTGCCTGTATCCTGAATCCTCTTTCCTACTCTGCTGCATTTTGGTAGATTGCATAATCCAGTCAATTCTTTAAAATGAGTGTATGGGAGTAACTGTGCACTTACTCCCCATGCAGGATCTCTGTCCTTAATGTGTTGTACTATGCAAATTAATGGTAAAACTAGTATTCAAACAGTATTTTATACTTTGTGCATCTGTGTGGGTGCAAACTGTTGAAATCTTTACTTAGTATAAACTAACTTGATCTTCTGTATATAAAGATAATTAAAAATGAATCTTAATGAAGAATGGGATGGGAGAGGGAGTGGGAGATGGGATGGTTTGCGGGTGGGAGGGTGGTTATGGGGGGGAAAAACTGCTATAATCCAAAAGTTGTACTTTTAAAATTTATATTTATTAAATGAAACTTTTAAAAAATATTTAACCCCCCCCCCAAAATAAAATGAGTGTATGGGGGCTAACATTTCTGAGTACTTATATTTTTAAATGTTCTTGCATATTGATTGATAGTTTTCTTGGGTATAAAATTCAGGTTTGGCCATCATTTTCCTTCAAATTTCAACAGAATTTTGTTTTCAGTGTTGGCTGCTAAGCATTCTTTTTTTTTTTTTAAGATTTATTTATTTATTTGAAAATCAGAGTTAGAGAGAGAGAGGTCTTCCATCTGCTGCTTCATTGCCCACGTGGCTGCAATGGCCAGGGCTGAGTTAGGCTAAAACCAAGAGCTTCATCTGGGTCTCCTACATGAGTGTCAGGGGCCCAAGTATCTGGGCCGTCTTCTGCTGCTTTCCTAGGTGCATTAACAGGGAGCTAGATTGGAAGTGGAGCAGACTGGATTTGATCTGGCCCTCATATGGGATGCCAACATTGCAGACAGTGGCTTAATCAGTTGTGCCGCTTGCTGGCCCTAGTAGCTGGGTGTTCTTGTTTGTTAGCTGAGTTGTCTTTTTTTTATCCTACATAAACTTTTTATCCTAAAGAATGCTTTTCCCTTTCCTGCTTGTTTGGCACCTGTCTCTCTTTGAGCATTTGGTAATCCTTGGTTATCTTTCTCACAAACCAAATAGAAGACTGAACACTCACTGAGTGTGTAGGTGAAATTTGCCTACCACCAGTGTCACTCAGGGCATTTTGGGAAATGGCAGTATTATATCTTTTGAACTTTCCCCTGAGGTTCATCAGGTTCCCTGAGCAGCCCACAGACCTCCTACCTGCTGGAGGTCTGGGAGCCCAGGGTGTGAGAGGGCTGGGAAGCATCAGCATTAACTAAAGCTTGCGTTTGGGGTGTGACATCCACTTCTTTAACTGTGCTTGGGCTCTCACATCCAGGGATCCCCTCTCTCGCACTTCCAGGGTCTAAATCTCCAGACTTGGGCAGGGAGTGACTTGGAGTAGATAAGAGAACCTAGAGCTCTGTTTTATAAATCACTTTGACTCAGTCTTTATTTTAGTCTTTTCCTTAAGTCCAGAGGTGCCTAACACTGACAGTTCCAGAGCCCTTTACAAATTCTAGGATGTGCACAGTGTGGTTTTCAGCTTCTCCATTTTGGCTTAAGCTTCGGCGTTCATTCCCAAAAATTTTTTTCAATAACTCCTGGAGCAGCTCATCTGTGCCAGGCATTCTTCTAGGGAACTGGGGAGACTTCAGGGAAGCAAGCGGATAGAAACCCTCGTCCTGGAGATGCTCATGTTCTGGTGGTCGGGAGTGGGGCGCAGAGGAAGATGACAGGCCATATCTGAAGGATGTAAGTGCTGCAGAGAGGAAATCAAGGGGAGTCGGGAATGGGCGTTTGTGACGGATGTAGGGGATAAGTGAGTTCAACTTTGTAGTGTAGTCAGAGGATGCTTACTGGCAGAATTTAAGCAAGGACCTGAAGGAGGCAAGGGCATTGGCCATGTTGATAGCAGGGGAATGGCGTTGCAAGCAGAAGGTACAGCCTGTGCAAAGGCCCAGAGGTGGGAGCATGCCTGGTACTTTTAGGAAACATGAGGTCAGTACCGAGTGGAGCGAGCAGAGGGAAGAAGCATGAGAGGTGAGGTCAGATGGTGATAGACGAGGATTTCTATCTGTTTTGGTTCTTGAAGTTTACTGATGAACTTGGGTTTGACTCTGAGAAAATGGAGTTGCTGCTGGAACATTCGTTAACAGGAATGGTGTATTTGTTGTAAAGGATCATACTTTGGCTGTGGCATTGAGGATATGATGTAGGTGCAGGGACAGGGCAGGGAGACGCATTTGGTGGCCTTTGCCATCTTCCAGGTGAGCAGTGATGGTGGCTTGGAGCAGCATGGTGGTCAAAGAGGAGTAGGTGTGGGGCTTTATAGCTACCTGTCCAATGTATGGACTCTGACTACTTGTGAACACACACACCTGGTCCACTCTGAGCTAAGGCACCACACACACTTCATATGAAAGGAAGAAGGTAACATATTTCACTAATTCCATACATTGATTACTTGTTGAAATGATAATATTGTGGGTAGATATCTTGGATCAAATAGAACACACCTGTATGATCAAAGTTAATTTCATCAATTTCTTTTTGATTTTAAAAATATGGCTTGAGAAGGTTTGAAATTGCATGTGCGGGCTTGCATTGCATCCTCACTGTGTTTCCACTGGACGGCGCTGTTCTGGATTCACTGGGAAGGTGGGAAGCCGACAGGGTTTGCAGGTGGATTACAGAGGTGAGGCTTCAGGGGTGACTCCAGAACACTGGGGCTGAGCAACTGGACTGTTGGAGTTGACATTTGCAGAGATTAGGAAGGCCGTAGGTGTGGCATGGATGTGGGTTTATGAAACATTTAAGTGGAGATGGAACATGGGCAGTTGGATGTGCGCAGTCTGAGGTTCAGTGGAACGGTTCAGACTGGAGATGAGCAAATGCAGGAGTCCTGAGTAGAGCTCCTATTCATGCATTCAAGCCGTGAGACTCTATGAAATCACGTCTCTTCTAAATGATTTGTTTCTTCCAGAATCCTTTTCTCTGTCTTTGTAGGTCGGTAGGTTTATGGCTTTGTTTTGTTCATTTTTGTTCAGTAGTCACTCTTCGAGTGGATTTTTGGAGGGAGCTGGATGTTATGTGTGTTCAGCTCATTATCCGGTACTGTGTGAGGGGTCTTTAAAGAGTTCATGGAAGGGGCCGACATTGTTGTGCAGTGGTTAAGCCTCTGCTGGGGTGCACACCCTGTTTGAGCACTGATTTCAGTATTGGCTGCTCCACTTCCAATCCATCTCGCTGCTAATGCACCTGGGATGGTAGCAGAAGATGAGCCAGATGCCTGGGCCTCTGCCACCCATGTGGAGATGCAGGTGGAATTCCAGGATCCTGGCTTCAGCCTGGCCCAGCCCTGGCTGTTGTAACCATCTGGGAAATGAGCCAGCACATGGAAGATTCTCTCTCTCTCTCTTTCTCTCTGTAACTCTACTTTTCAAGTAAACAGGTAAATCTTTTTTTAAAAAAGAGTTCATGAAAAAGATTTATTATGACAGAGCTATGCACGAATTTCAAAAATATTTTGCACAAAAATTTATCTTTTAATTCAGTTTTTCTGTGAGCTTTTTGATGTTCCATTGTATGATTTAAATTCATGTGGTTGTTTTTTTATGGCCTTTCATTGTGGTAGAAGAGAGATTATGAAATTGTAGTACATATCCTTTAATCAAAATGCTTGGGACCTGAAGGGTTTTGGATTTCTGATTTTCTTGGGATTTTGGAATATATGCATAAACATAATGAGGTATCTTGGGCATGGGACCCAAGTCTAAACACAGAACTCATTTACATTTCATATACACTTTTGACATTTATGCTTATATACATAGCATGAGTGTAAGTTTATACAATATTTGTAGTAATTTTGTGCATGAAACAAATTCTCATGGTGTGAAATTTTCCACTTGGGATGTCATGTTTATGCTCAAAAAGTTTTGGGTTTTTGGATTAGGGCTGCCTACCCTGTACTCAGTAGAAACTTTCTGACACTACCCCATCAGGCTTTCTGGAAAAGTAATGGCTTCTGCTTTTCTCCTAGGCAAGAAGGCTGCTCGATCTTGCCACAGTGAAGGCAAATGGGCTGGCTGCCTTCCTTCTGCAACATGTTCAGAAGTTGCCGGTCTCACTGTCCCTGCCCTTTGAAGGTATGGATGTGTTCTCAGTGAGTCAGGGAGCGAAGAGAGGTCGGTGCGGATTCAGGGCTAAGAGCAAAGCCTGTGTCTCTGAGCATCCCGCGTATTGGCTGCAGAAGCCTTCCCGAGACTAAGTTTTTGCATTTTAAGGTTAACACCATCTGCTGTCTCATTGTTGGGCTATGAGGGGTTCAAAGAATCAAAGTGAGGAGCGGGTGTTGAGGTGCAGCAGGTATCCCGTATCAGAGTGCTCGCTTTAGTCCTGGCTGTTCCACTTCTGACCCAGCTTCCTGCTGATAGGCATGGGAAGGCAGGGGAAGATGGCCCAAGTGCTTAGGCCCCTGACACCTAAGAGAGACCAGGATGTGGAGACCAGGATGTGGGGGACCAGGATGGGGTCCCTGGCTCCTGGCTCCTGGCTTTGGCCTGGCCCAGACCTGGCTGATGCAGTCATCTGAGGAGTGACCCAGTGCATGGAAGACCTCTCTATTTGTCTCTCCCTGTTTCTGTGTTGCTCTGCCTTTCAAATAGATGAACAAACAAATCAACCTTGAAAAATGAAAGAGTGCAAGTGTACCATGTTAGCTGTTAACTCTCATTTCTTCCTGCACTGCTTGATGATATTGGACACTACCCTATCTTGAGGTCTAACTTCAGCTGTTCCTAACCATCCAAACTCTCATTCTCTGTCCCAGAAGGAAGTGCATACATTTTTTTTTTCTTTGATGTCTGAAACTTAGCTGCTTACTGGCAGAAACTCAAGAATCCAACATTTAGAGAACTGGCATCCTTTGGTGCCCACAGTCACCAGCCAACTTGGGAACCATAGAGGCCTGGGTGGTGCAGTAGAAACGAAGTAGGTGCCTTGCTGGATGCCTTGTGGACAACCTCCGCCCCTCACCACAACGCCGGGAAGTAGGTCTTTGCTTCACTTCATAGATGCAAAGTCTGGGCAGGCAGGTTGAGTGATGAATGGAAGGATGGCTTTGATTCTCAACTGTCCCCACCTACACTTTCTCTTTTCTTGGTAGAGAAATCACCAGTTAACAAGAGGATGTAAGCCTGGTGCTGTTCAAGTCTTGTCCCCACATCTCCAAGGGGGAAGTTCATTGGCACTGAAGGCCCTTGGTGCTGATGAACAGGTTTATCACACTGGGCCCTGCCCTATGTGCAGTGAGCTGGCCTGTGGCAGGGGTGGTGAAGCCTTGCCTGGCACTTGGATGTGCACCATCTCATCTCAGAATAGGGTGCGGGGTGAGTGCACAACAGGGGATGCCCAGAGTCCAGCCTGGTACCCAGCTCAGCTCTTTTTTTTTTTTTTTGACAGGCAGAGTAGACAGAGAGAGAGAGAGAGAGAGAGAGAGAGAAAGGTCTTCCTTTGCCGTTGGTTCACCCTCCAATGACCGCTGCAGCTGGAGCGCTGTGGCTGGCGCACCGCGCTGGTCCAATGGCAGGAGCCAGGTGCTTATCCTAGTCCCCCATGGGGTTCAGGGCCCAAGCACTTGGGCCATCCTCCACTGCACTCCCTGGCCACAGCAGAGAGCTGACCTGGAAGAGGGGCGACCGGGACAGAATCCGGACCCCGACCAGGGCTAGAACCTGGTGTGCCCACGCCACAGGTGGAGGATTAGCCTATTGAGCCATGGCGCCGGCCACCAGCTCTGCTCTTAACAGCTTCTGTTGATACAGAAGCTGTTGATATGGCAAGCAGAGCAGGCCTTCAGGTGTGTGGCGCTGAGCCCTGGTGAGGCCGCTTCTAAAGTGCTCACTGATGGGTTTGTTTCTCTTAGAAATGAGTGATAAGTTTCTATTTATTAATTTTGTAGAATTTCAGTATCATTGGGGATGGCTGGAAACCTACATTGGAAATCAGGATATTGGAGGAGAAGATATATATGTGTGTACTTCAAATGTTCATGAATTTAAAAGCTACAAAAATGTTTAAAATCTATGTACAGGGCTTTTTTTTTTTAACTTATTTATTTGAAAGGTAGAGTGACATGCAACACACACACACAAACACAGATCTTAGATCTGCTAGTTCACTCCCCAAATGGCCACAACAACCAGGTCTGGGCCAGGCTTAATCCAGGAGCCTAGAACTCCATCCAGGTTTCCCATGAGTGTGGTAGAGGTCCAAGTACTTGGGCCATCTTCCACTGCTTTCCCAGGTACATTAGCATGGAGCTGGATTGGAAGTGGAGAAGCTGGGACTTGAACCAGTGTTCATATGTGATGCTGACTTTGCAGGAAGTGGCTTGACCTGCTGTCCTTCACACTTAACCTGCTTGACTCTGGCCCCAGTTTTTTCATAGTGTACATTTCCATGAACTTTTTGGAGAGCCCCCTTATACATGGATTTCAGGGTTTGTTGTACCAAAATAAACTGCCTTTTAATTCCAATTTTGCATGAGCTTTTTGAAGTACCTTTGTATTTTGGGATATTGGTCCTATGCTTCTGGGTGGAAGGCAGACAAAGCCACCCATTCTTCAGTCTGGGGACCAGAAAGGCAGTGCAGACCCAGGGCCTCTTCTTTGAGTGACTCCTTGTCCTTAGGGGAGCTAAGACCTTACTGTGGAAGTTACTTGTTGGCCTCAGGGAAAAGAACAAATGGGCTGGAGCTTAGGTAGGGGTAGTGAGGCTGTGATGGGGTGAACCAGCTGGGACTCTGGACCAGCACTTCCCCATTTGTTGAAAGGGGAACTGAACCCTGACTCAGGAAGTGGTTTGCTCAGTTTCAGTTTTCAGGATGATGAAGGAAAGGCAGAGAGTTGCATGAGCACGGTGGGGAAGTGTGGGCAGGATAGGGTCTAGGCCAAGTGCCCAAGCCAGGCACCAGAGACTCTGCCCTTCCAGAGGAAGGCGCACCCAGAGGACGCAGGCTCATGTCCCCATTTCCAGGTCTCTGACTGCATCGCCCTGCAGAGTTCCACTTACCTTGGAGAGTCATAGTCACTGTTCTAGGAGTCAGCATGTGGACACTGGCGTGGGGGTGGGGGAGGGTGGTGGTGGGGTGGAGAACCATTGCGCCTACCTCACTCACGATAGTAATAATAAAAAACCAGGTTTCATTGTGTATCAAGTGTCAGATACTCTTCTAATCTCTTTTTATCTCATTGTCTCCTGAAATAATTCTTAAGATGTCAATTTTATCCATTTTTGCATACAAGAAAATTGCAGCCCAGCAGGGCTAAGTGGCTTGTCCATGTTGATGGTGGATCAATCCAAGTTTCAGAATCAGATGTGTCTGGCTCCCGAAACTGGATTCCTAAGCTCTTCTGCCTCCTGTGTCTTTTTAGAAAGAAGCAATGGCGGCTGTATGGTGAAAGACCCTGGGTAACGCTGCCCAGCCAGTGTGGCCAGATGGGCATCCACAGCCCACGACCCGGTGCAACCCTCTGCGCGCCTCCCAACGTCAGTAATGACCATGGCGATCACTGCTGTCATTCAAGCACTTGCTTTTGTTGGACCTTGTGCTAAGCACCATTTATTCATGTAAAAACTAGGAGGTCATGGCCGCCATTTCTCCACTTCCCAGGGGGAGAGAACCTGGCTTAGGGAGGCTCCCCGACCGTCCTCCAAGTCCAACTCACAGCTTGTGAGTAGAGGAGCCAGGACAGGTGCCCGGTGGGTCTTCTCTCCCACCAGTAACTGCCCTCTTCACCACGGCCCCACCCGCATCTCCCTCTCCTTCTGTTTTCTAGCTGCCGCGTGTAAGAAGTACATGTCCAAGCTGCGGACCATAGTAGCTGCACAGTCTCGCTTCCTCAGCACCTATGATGGAGCAGAGAACCTCTGCCTGGAGGACATATACACAGAGAACACCCTGGAGGTCCGGACCGAGGTGGGCATGGCTGGACCCCTGCACAAGAGCCCCGCCGCCCTGGGCCTGGAGGAGCTCTTCAGCCCCAACGGCCACCTTAATGAAGATGCGGACACCGTGCTCGTGGTGGGCGAGGCAGGCAGTGGCAAGAGCACACTCCTACAGCAGGTGCACTTGCTGTGGGCCACGGGGCAGGACTTTCAGGAATTTCTCTTTGTCTTCCCATTCAGCTGCCGGCAGCTGCAGTGTGTGGCCAGACCGCTGTCTGTAATGACGCTGCTCTTTGAACATTGCTGCTGGCCCGATGTTGGCCAACAGGATGTCTTCCAGTTCCTCCTGGACCACCCTGACCGCATCCTCTTGACCTTTGACGGCTTTGATGAGTTCAAGTTCAAGTTCACGGACCATGAGCGTCACTGCTCTCCAACTGACCCCACGTCTGTCCAGACTCTGCTCTTCAACCTTCTGCAAGGCAACCTCCTAAAGAACGCCCGCAAGGTGCTGACCAGCCGTCCGGATGCGGTGTCAGCGTTCCTTAGGAAGTATGTCCGCACTGAGTTCAACCTCAAGGGCTTCTCAGAGGAGGGCATCGAGCTGTACCTGAGGAAGTGCCATCGTGAGCCTGGGGTGGCAGATCGCCTCATCCACCTGCTCCAAACAACTTCAGCCCTGCATGGTTTGTGTCACCTTCCTGTCTTCTCGTGGATGGTGTCTAAATGCCACCAGGAACTGTTGCTGCAGGACGGGGGGTCCCCAAAGACCACCACGGATATGTACCTGCTGATCTTGCAGCATTTCCTGCGGCATGCCTCCCTCCCAGACTCAGCCTCCCAGGGCCTGGGGCCCAGCCTCCTTCAAGGAAGGCTCCCCACCCTCCTGCGCCTCGGCCAACTGGCTCTCTGGGGCCTGGGCATGTGCTGCTACGTGTTCTCAGCCCAGCAGCTCCAGGCAGCGCAGGTTGACCCTGATGACATTTCTCTGGGCTTCCTGGTGCAAGCCCAAGGCGTCGTGCCGGGAAGCACAGCGCCCCTCGAATTCCTGCACATTACTTTCCAGTGCTTTCTTGCTGCCTTCTACTTGGTACTCAGCACTGATGTGCCAACAGCCTCCCTCAGATACCTCTTCAACTGTCGCAGGCCTGGCAGCTCGCCGCTGTCCAGGCTGCTGCCCAGGCTGTGCGTCCAGGGCTCGGAGCACAAGGAAAGCACCGTGGCGGCTTTGCTACAGAAGACTGAGCCGCACAACCTTCAGATCACAGCAGCCTTCCTGGCTGGCCTGTTGTCCCGGGAGCACCGGGACCTGCTGGCTGCGTGCCAGGCATCTGAGAGGAGCTTGCTCCGGCGCCGGGCCTGTGCCCGCTGGTGTCTGGCCCGCAGCCTCCACAAGCACTTCCGGTCCATCCCACCAGCCGTGCCGGGGGAGGCCAAGAGCATGCACGCCATGCCCGGGTTCCTCTGGCTCATCCGGAGCCTGTACGAGATGCAGGAGGAACGGCTGGCCCAGGAGGCTGTGCGCGGGCTGAATGTTGAGCACCTCAAGCTGACGTTTTGTGGCGTGGGCCCTGCTGAGTGTGCCGCCCTGGCCTTCGTGCTGCGCCACCTCCGGCGGCCTGTGGCCCTGCAGCTGGACCACAACTCCGTGGGTGACATTGGTGTGGAGCAGCTGCTGCCTTGCCTCGGGGCTTGCAAGGCCCTCTAGTGAGTGTCGCTGGGTCTGGTTGCTCTGGCAAGGGGTGGGGAATGCCACTGGCAAAGTTAGGTGTGGGAGCGCTGAGCTGGGCTCCAGAAATGCAGACTCAGCACCAGCCCTGCAGCCCGGTCAGGTCTCTGCCATGCGGGGCTGTACTGACCAAGGTGCTTCAAAATTCTGTGGAAGAATGAAGTTAAAAGATAAGTTTATTTTGGTGCACAGCACTTTTGGAATCCATGCATAGATTTTTCATAATAGGCATTTTATTTGAACTTTTTCCCCCCTCATTACACATGGATTTCAATTTTTTTTTGTACCAAAAGAGACTTATCTTTCCATTTCATTTTTTCACACAGGGAAATGATTTCATTTTTCCAAACAGGGTTGTGATTATCCCCTTATCCTTGATGTGAGGCTCAGAGACGTGAAGCAGCTTGTCCAGGGCCACACAGGAAATGGCAGCACCAGGCTCTGCAGCTCACATCTTCCTGGTTACAAGTTCCCTGCTTCCCGCTAGTAAGCTGCTCGTGGAGGTACTTCACGTGCAAAGTTCTGTGTGACATATGCCTGTATTCCGAGCTGCCCCCAGTCAGAGGTGACTTGTGCCCTGTCAGAGACTTTAAAATCCCCATGAGGCAGGACTCCCAGAACCTGGGAGATGAAACACTGGACCTGTTTCTTTCCAGCCAGTGCGGTGTCCCAGCAGGGTTTCGGTAGTCCCCGTGGTCTCCTTCAGCGCCCTGGCTGAAGCGGTGAGGTTTCACCCTGCGGAATGTGTGTGCCGCTGAACCCAGGGGCTTCTCTCCACGACTGGGGTGAGAGGGGACGGAGGGTGTGGGCAGGACTGGCAGCAGCATGCTGCCAGCTCCCTGACTTCCCGTCCAGCCGTGAAAGGGGATGTTCTGTGAGAAAGCAGAAGTTGAGGATTAAAGTGGAAAATCTACTCGGGGCTTTGGGACTACCCCCAGGTGGGCCTTGATGACCCTAAGCGAGGGACCCGCTGTCCTTGAATTCAGGAGCAAGGTGCATCTGCTCTGCTCAAAGCAACAGGCTTTTTTTTTTTTCCCTCCCTGGAAGAGATATATGAATGTGTACTAGACACCAGGCCATGGCTTCTGTCAGCCCTCACGTAGCCGCTGTGGCTGTGATGTGTACGATGTCATTGTAACATATATGCGGGCACTGCAGAAGGGTCACGGGAAGTGGGATGAAAACCTGAGTCAATTTGGGTACAAAACTACTTTAAATTTCCTTGTCTTTGAGGGGGTCTTCAAAAAATTCATGGAAAATGCTTATTATGGAAAAACTATGGATTTCAATTTTTTTGGTCACAAAATTAATTTACCTTTTCATTCCATTTCCATGAACTTTTTGAAGTACATACAATTTGAAGGCTGGATTCAATTAGTGTCAGATATAAATGTGAATGTAGAGGGGACAGATGCCACACTGAAGGGGAGAGTGTAGGGAAGAAACTCTGACAAGGGAGTTAGGGACAGGAGTTAGGGAGAGCACAGAGCGCAAGGGGAGGGCACTGGGGTGGTAACAGTTGGGGGGTGGGCAGGAGCAAAGGAGCAGGGGGAGGGAGTGCTTGTTGGCTGGTGGGGGAGCTGGAGGGGGCAGCCTGAGCTACAGCAACCTGGGAGAACTATGCTTGGCCCCTACTCTCCTCCCCGACTCTTGCCTCCTGCCAGTGCCTTTGCCACTGAACTCATCTTGCAGGAAGCAGGGGTGCAGAGACAGTCAAGGAGGGGGCGTGGATCTGGCTGGGAAAATTAAGAGAGCTAGCACAATGCTCTCCTTCCCTAGGGGAGGACTCCCTGTATTTTGACTGAGGGGTTGGGAGACCCCTCCTGTGGAAATGTGTGGATTTTCTGGGCAGTGCACTCATAGTCTACCAGGTTCTCAGAGGGGTCCTTGGACCTCAGGAGGCCTGGATGATCCTCATAGGCACTGTAATCCTTTCCTAGAACTCCTTTTTTTTTTAAATTTATTTATTTTACTTAAAAGTCAGAGTTACACAGAGCGAGAAGGAGAGGCAGAGAGAGAGAGAGAGAAGTCTTCCATCTGCTGGTTCACTCCCTAATTGGCTGCAATGGCCAGATCTGTGCTGATCCAAAGCCAGGAGCCAGGAGCTTCTTCTGGATCTCCCATGCATGTATAGGGGCGCAAGGGCCTGGGCCATCCTCTACTGCTTTCCCAGGCCATAGCAGAGAGCTGGATAGGAAGTGGAGCAGCTGGGACTCGAACTGGCCCCCATATGGGATGCCAGGACTGCAGGCGGCAGCTTTACCTGCGACGCCACAGTGCCGGCCCTGAAATCCTTTTTTTTTTTTAATTGACACATAGTATTTGTGCCATGTATGGGCAACAGTGTGATAACTCAGTATATATATGCAATGCTTAATGATTAAATTGGGGTAATTAGCATTTGCATCTTCTACAAACATTTCTACAAACCACTTCTCTGTGCTAGGAGCTTTCAGATTGTCCCGGGTATTTTGAGATATAAAGTGTTGTAGACTGTGGTTACCCACCTATGCTATATGATACTAGAAGTAGTGGAATTAATTGAGTGGATTCCGTGTCCTCCATTGGGAATGTTTGCATGACCCCTGTGGTGTGCAGAAGGCCCAAGAGGACACTGTGGGTGTACATCTATTTTCAGGGGAGGGGTAAGGCTAGCCTGGTTCTGACTTATCATGCTCAGATTGTATGCTGGAAAGGGACTTGTGGACATACAGATTCCTGGGCCTGTCCCTGGTAATTCCCATTCAGGAGGTCTGGGGTGGGGGCCCCAGGAACCTGTGTTGGTGACACACATCCTTGGTATTCTAATGTAAGTGGTCTAGAGTTCGTGCTGTGAGAGCTACAGGTCTGTGGGAACCAGTTTGATGTTTCATTAATGATTAAAGTCCTTGATCAAGCTGTGCTCTCTACACGCACTAAAATCGCCATCCCGGTGGGGAAGGAGAGACCACCGTGAAGTTCCCGCATGGACACTTTCCATGTGTATATATGAGAGAGGGGTAGAGACAGGCAGAGAGAGAGAGAGAGAGAGAGAGAGAGAGGAGGGAGGCTGGGAGGACTGGCTCCTCTCCCGTAGCACCACACTGCATCTCTTCCACTTGAAGTGTTTCCATGCCAACCAAATCCTCAGCCTCTAAGCAACCCCATACACCAAGTGCCCCTCTATAGGTTTCTTCAGACCTCGGCTCTCTGTGACTCTAGGGTAATGACTTTCAAAGTTTTCTGGCTGTGACTCAGGGTAAGAGACACACACAGAGAGAACATACGAGCATGTAAAATAGAAACAAAAGCTTTACAGAAACGACTTTCCTTTATTAACTCATACATTCTGCTCTCTTCTTCTGTTCTGTCCTATTTCAGTTGCAAATATGCTGCCGAAGGCCTCCAGAGCTGCTTTCATGACCACTAACAGGTCGTGCAACCTGCATTCTGAAAATCACGGTTCTCGTGAGCCCTTAAGAGGCCCTAAGGTGGAGACCATAGAATGCTATGGTTAGGAGTGGGATTTAGAGCCTGGCCACCTAGGTTCAAATCCTTTCTGTGCTGTGCAACCTTGGCAAAGTCCCTTCATTTGTCTGTGCTTTCGTTTGAGTCTCTCAAATGCACATAGTGATTACCCCTATGTCATGGGCATGCCGCGAGGATTGAACGACGTCACTAGTGGCAAATACTTAGGGCAGTGCCAGGCACATAACTTGTTCCCAGAATGCCTGTGATCATGATTGCAGGGGAGTCGCAGCTGCGCCGGGTGCGCACACCCAGCCCGGTGAGGTTAGCAATCCTGCAGGGACCAGCCCATAGCTAGGGAGGGGCTGATCTGGATCAGAACTTCCAGCCCAGGGACTCCAGAGCCTGAACTGTTAAAATAACTCACTCAAGGTCTCCCCAGCCTGCCTGAATATAAAGAAGCACGTGCCCAAATGTTGAAACATGCGGGTCCCTGGGCCCTTCCCGGCTCATACAGCATGGCTAGCTCCAGGGGTGGGCCCTGGGAATCTGTATGTTCAGGAAGTTTCCAGGTGATCTTGTGATCACGAGATTGGGGAATGCTGGCTCAAGAGGAGGGTCACAAAGAGCTTGCCGGGAGGGGTCTAGCTATAGGAGTATTGTCACTAGGGTGGAGGACTGGTCAGCAGAGCCTTGCTAACCACAGCCTGCCAGTGTTTCTAGACTATTGGCTACTCTGGTACAACTGGTCTACCGTCTGCTCACCTGGTAGATGGTCTGGCTAGTTCCAGCTGTAGCTTTCCCATACGTCAGCTCCTTTCCACCTTGGAGCCTTCTGTGAGGCTGCTGTGAGGGTCAGGGATGAAACAGTGCCTGAAATGAGATGTGACTTCCAAAGGATTGCAATGTTCTTTTGTAGGAGCTCTGGTCCCTGCTTCCTGGGCTGTCCCCACTGTCCCACACCACGTCAGCTCCTTGGTCAGGAGGGGTCGGGGTCCCCACTTTTCTGGGATGCTCTATACATTTCCTAGAAGCACAGACTTTGGGGATGAGTGAAAGCCTCCTTTGAGATTTTGTACATCTTTTCCCTCTTTTATCAACTTCGCTTTCAAATTTATTTATTTTTGTCTTCCTTAGTCTGCGAGATAACAATATCTCAGACCGAGGCATTTGCAAGCTCATCGAACATGCTCTTCACTGTGAACAACTGCAGAAGTTGGCGTAAGTCAGGCTGGGCTGTGGACATCGGGCCGAGCCCCCAGCCTCGCCCTGGGCTGGTCACGCTCTGGGCAGCTGTGAATGAGCGATGGGCAGGGGCCGTGTGTTTGCGTGACTGGAGGGTGCAGGGTGATCCCTGTCCCCAGGGAACAGATGACCCTGGGTTTGGGTGCTCACTGGCCTTGTCTTCACGTGTCTTCTCTTGCAACTCAACAGTCTGTTCAACAACAAGCTGACCGATGGCTGTGCCCACTCCGTGGCCCAGCTCCTTGCGTGCAAGCAGAACTTCTTGGCATTGAGGTGAGTCTGGGGCTTCCCCATTTCCTGGAAAATGTTCTTTCCACAGCAGATCATGGCTGTGGCCTGGCCCTCACTGGGCTCACCATCATCAACTGAATACCAGGGCATGGTCTCCTGGGAGTTGCTCTGGTGCCATGACTTCCCCAGCAAACTGCAGCGGTTCTGCTGGGGACTTCCTGCCCTTTGACCTTTAGCCCTCAGGGTGAAAATGGGCCTCCAGGCCCTTTTTCTTCTCTGGATCTGAATGTCCCAAGCCCTGAGGTTACTCTGTTCCCTGGCACACACTGAGCATGTCCTGCTGGGGAGAGACGTATGCAGTCACTTACTTGCTCCCAATACAGGGCAGCCAGCAACCGAATTGCTCCCAGGAGACCCCTCACTGCTTGCAGGGTGCAGGGTCTGCCCTCCCAACTGGGAGGTCTTCATCTCTGCTACTCTGGAGCCTCCCAGCCTCAACTGGAGTCTCCTGTGTGCAATTAAATTGCCTCTCCGGATGATCCCAGCTTGGCCTGGCTTCTTTCTCCTGCCATTTGTGAAGACATTGCTTCCATGCATTCTTTCCACCTGCTGGGCTGGGTTGGGGGCTTGTGCTGCCATTGATCATGTAGCTCCGTCTCAGCTAGGGCTGCTGAGGTCATAGGCACCGATTTTATAGAGGAGTCTGTTCTGCCACCCCCACCTGCTATGGCCATACCTGGGATGGCTTAACCCTTTGGGGAGAGCTGTGGGTTGTAGAAGGGTGTGGGACTCTGGGGCCAGCTTGTTGGTAGCAGTAAAGTCGCCATTTGGGACATCTGCATTCCATAATAGAGTGCCTGGTTTGAGTCCCAGGTACTGCACTTTTGCTTTGGCTTCCTGCTAATGAGCACTGTGGGAGGCAGCAGATTGGGGCTGTAGTACCTCGGTCCCTTCTTCTTATGTAGGAGACATGTATGGAGTTCTGGACTCTTGGTTTTAGCCTGACTCAGCCCCAGTTGTGGTGGGCACTGAGTGAACCGGCAGGTGGAAGGTCTCTCTCCTCTCTCAGCCTTTTAAATAAAATGAAAATAATTAAATAAATAAATAAATAATAAGGGTGCTGGACTCAGAGTTGGAGACCTGGGTTTGTGACCAATGCATTGTCAGAGTTGAGAGCAGGGACCCTGGAGCCACATTGCTCAAGCTTGTTTGTTTTTAAATTTAATTTTTTTTTTTTTTAATTTGAGAGGCAAGAGAGACTCAGACAGTAGAGACAGCCCCTGTCTGCTGGTTCACTCCCCAAATGCCTGCAGCAGCCAGGACTGGACTAGAGCTGACGCTGGAAGACAGGCACTCAAGCCTGGTCTCCCATGTGGGTGGCAGGGACCAACTACTCGAGCCGTAGTGCTGCTCTCAGGGAAGCTGCCACCGAGGGCTGGAATTGGGACTTTAACTCAAGGACTCTGATATGGGATGTGGGCATCCTAACTGGAATCTTAACCATCAGGCCAAATGCCCTCCCCAGACTGCCCAAGGTTTGACTCCAGGATTCCTGTGATTGGAATCCTCATTAGCTGTGTGACCTGGGTCAGCCTCGTGTCTGTACGCTTCCATGTGCCCCTCTGTAAGTGGGGACAATAATAACAGCCATCTCATGGTTCACGATTGAGTTACTGTACGTACAGAGCTGGCACTGTTTTGCAAGTGCTTTATATAGCAGGCTCGGGGACTGCGAGATCCTGGGCCAATTATGTAAGCTCTCAGCTTGCTCAGCCTTCTGTTAGTCCAGTCCTCCAAGAAGAAATTAGATGTGCCACACATGTACGAGGGGGCTTCAGAAAGTGCGTGGAAAATGGAATTGAAAGATGAGCTTATTTTTGGTGCCAAAAAGTTTGAAATCTGTGCGTTTTCCCCCACAGTATGCATTTTCCATGAACTCCTTCAAGACCCCCACCCCCCAAACTGGGGAAAATGCTTCTCTGGGGCAACGGGAAGGGGGGGATTGGGGGGGTCTAACCCTGAGTGAAGCTGGAAGGAGGCAAGGAGGGCTGGGGGGAGCACCCTGGACTTCAGGGTGGTTCAGAGAGAGGTCAGCAAAGCCCCTGGGGAGTCCTCAGCAGGAGAGCCTCATCCCAGCCCCTGGCCTGCAGATTCCAGTGACCCGAGATTCCAGTCACAACAGCCCGGGCGCCTGGGCACCTGCGGAGCTGGGCTGGAGGGCTCTGAGCCTCCTCCTGGCGCCACAGCCCTCTCGAAGGGGATGATCACACCTGCCCTCTAAGGGTTGTCGGGAGGCAGGCAGGCTTAAAAGTCTTTGAAAAGGGGGAAACAGGTTTTTATTCCAGGGAACCTGGGCTGTGGGTAAGTGTTCTGGGGCAGGCTCTGAAATTCACCGGGTTACCTGGATTTGGCTGCTGGGAGGGCCTGCCTTGCCCGGGATTCCCCAGCTCTCTCCCAGCCTAGCTGCTTCCCTGTGGCCCGCCCTCCCTCCCACAGTGTTGTCCCTCTTGGTGTTGGCAAAAAGCTCTCCGGGAAGTCTCGGCTGGCCCAGCCTCCCAGACCTGCCCTGGATCTTGCAGGACAGGTAACAGCAGATCCAGGAAGGGCACAGGGACACGTGGGAGCCTAGACCCAGAGTGGCTGAGACCACAGGAGAAGGTGAGACAGTGAGTCCCCCTTGCTCCCCTGGCACCCCTGGGGAAACCACCTGCAACCAGACCTGTCTCACTGCTTTGCATAACAGGTCCCACAGCCCTTTCTCTGCTGGTGGGAAAAAAGGCACTGCAGCCATTGAGTATGCTCAGCTGAACAGCACCTATGGGGCTGTTGTGTCCTGGGTGAATCTGGCTCTCTCTGCCCATGACACTGACAAGCCCGGGCCCCTGCCCTCAGCGGGCTCTCACCCTCCTCTGTCTTCTTTTCCAGGCTGGGGAATAACCACATCACCGCTGAAGGAGCCCAGGTGCTGGCCGAGGGGCTCCGAGACAACAGCTCCTTGCAGTTCCTGGGGTATGTTGGATTCTCTGGGGCAGAGGGGCCTGCGTGGAGAGGTCTGGGGCCTTTCAAGGATTTGGGGGCAAGCGAAACTCTTTAGCCGGATAGGCCCAAAGGCAGCCCAGGCTCCAATGGGGATGGCAAGCCAGAGAGAGTGTGGGCTGCCCTTGGCCGCTGCAGTACTTGCATCTTCATCTGATAAACAGGAAGTTGGGGATGCCAGGGTTGGGGGAGGGCAGTGCCATAGGCTAGGTTCTCATGGGTGCTTAGGGCTATGCCTTGGCTGTACATTGAACTACTCCGTGTGTCCAAAGAACACCATTGCCCAGGTCCTACCCCAGACTAGTGGAATGAAAGTAGCTGGGTGCAAGACTCAGGAGTCGGTGATTCTGTTTTTAAGTTTTCTTTTTTATTTTGTTCATTTGAAAGGCAGAGTTACAGAGAGAGGGGGAGAGACAGAGATCTTCCCTCTGCTGGCTCACTCCCCAAATGGCCCAGCTTTCCCATGTGAGTGCAGGGGCCCAAGCACTTGGGTCATCTTCTGCTGCTTTTCCCAGGCCATTAGGAGGGCACTGGATCAGAAGTGGAGCAGCCGGGACTGGAGCTGGTGTCCATATGGGATGCCATTGCTGCAGGCGGCAGCTTTACCTGCTATAGCACAACACCGGCCCCATGGTATCAGTAATTTAAAACGGCTCTGCAGTGGGTGTACGGCTGAGGGTGAGAAGCCTTGAGAAGTGGAAGAAATGGGAAGGGATAAGACTGGAGAGGTTGTCCTGGGTGTACTTGAGCTCCCGCTTGCTGTAGGGCCATGTTCAGGCCTAGAAGGGAAAGGGGGGATCCACATCCACAGGGCTGCAAAGTAAGGCTTCCCCTGACTGCTGGCAGGGCAGCTCTCCCGCTGGGTTGCACTCCAATAGCCCCTCGCCTGTGCCGTGTGAACTGAGGTCTGTTTAACCAGTTTTAGCACCTGAAACTATAGAAAGAGAGAATAACCTTGGGCCCAGGTGCCCTGATCCGTTTCACAGACAGGCATGTTGCCCACAGATTTCAGTTTGCGTCAGCTGTAGGACTATGCTGCTCAGAAATCAGCATCTTTCCAAGCTGCGTTGGAGCAATGGAGCCCAGCCCGGGGGCCAGAGCCCCACTGAGCTCTCCTCTGCTCCAGGTCACATCTGCCACATCTGGGGCACTTAGCTCTCTTCCAAGACGTATTTCTTAAAGTACCTGTCTGGGCCAGACACTGTGCTCAGACCCGCAAACACTGTCATATGATGCAAACTGCTTGGTATCTTGCTTTTCAATTTAAAAGATTTTTTTTTTTTTTTTGCTTTACAATATATTATGAGTATCTTTTCAGATCATTATGACTCGGCTTTTTATTTTTAAAAGTCTATCTATTTGAAAGGCAGAGAGAGAGAGAGACAGAGAGAGAGAGACAGGCATTCCATCTGCTAGTTCACTCCCCAGATGCTCACAATACCTGGGGCTGTGTCCATCCTGGTTTTCCATGTGGGTGTCAGGGATCCAAGTCCTTGGGCTGTCACCTGCTGTTTCCCAGGATGCACACTGGCAGGAAGCTGGATTGCAAGTGGAACTCAATGCCAGCCACTCAGCTATGGGATGCAGGCATCTTAAGTGACAGCGCAATCCACTGTGCCACAACACCTGCCCTCATTGTGACCTCCATTTTTAAAAGAAGAGCTGCATTGTATTGCATTGGTTTGATGTCCATGATCTGTTTCACCAGTCACCTGTTGCTGCTTGCCTAGATTGCTGCCCTATGTCTTGCTGTTATAGTGTCATAACCCTGGAGCACAGAGCAGTGTTGGCACATAGCCAGGGCTCTACCGCTATTCCCTGAGTGAAAATGCTGTGAACACGAGTTCAGCTCTCCGTGCTCCCTTGGGGACATACACCCCCAGGGCAAGTCCCCATCTGTATAATAGCTGGGTCAAAAGGAGCGAGTTGGGTTCTACCTCTTTGAAAAATTGATATTTCCAGACTGCAGAGGGTCACAGGAGAATGGCCCAGAGAGCGAAGGAGTTAGACATCATGAAGCAATTGGAGGTGATAAGAAGGAGCAAGAGGGCCGGCGCCGCGGCTCACTAGGCTAATCCTCTGCCTAGCGGCGCCGGCACACGGGTTCTAGTCCCGGTCGGGGCGCCGGATTCTGTCCCAGTTGCCCCTCTTCCAGGCCAGCCCTCTGCTGTGGCCAGGGAGTGCAGTGGAGGATGGCCCAGGTGCTTGGGCCCTGCACCCCATGGGAGACCAGGAAAAGCACCTGGCTCCTGGCTCCTGCCATCGGATCAGCGTGGTGCGCCGGCCACAGCGCGCCGGTCGCGGCGGCCATTGGAGGGTGAACCAACGGCAAAGGAAGACCTTTCTCTCTGTCTCTCTCTCTCACTGTCCACTCTGCCTGTCAAAAAAAAAAAAAAAAAAAAAAAAAAAAAGAAGGAGCAAGAGATGAAGAGCTGATGTGTGAGAGTTAGACTTGTTCTGGGTGCTCCCAGAGGGTACTTACCACCTCCCAGGGGTCACTTACAGGATCCGAACTGAAGTCAGGAAAGGGACCAGTGTTGTGGCTAAGGTACCTCCTGTGATACCAGAATCCCATGTGGGTGTCAGTTCAAGTCCTGGCTGCCCCACTTCCAATCTAGCTTCCCGCTAATGCTCTTGGGAAAGCAACAGAAGATGCCCCAAGTGTCTGGGCCCCTGCCACTTATGTGGGAGACCCAGAAAAAGCTCCTGGCTTAAGCCTGGTCCAGTCTCAGCCATTGTGGTCATGTGGTCATTTGGGGAGTGAACTGGCAGATAGAAAATTCTCTCTCTTTCTCTCCCACTCTCTCTGTAGCTCTGAGTTTCAAATAAATAAATTAAAAAAAAATAAAGTCAGGAAAAAGGAAAAATGTCACAACTTGGTGTATTACTATTGGGAGTGAGTCTCCCATCCCTGAGGGTATGGGGTGGGTGGGCCTCTGTACCCCACCAGGAAGAAGGGGGCAGGTTCATGTTGCTGGGAGACCTGGCTGGAGTCGGCTGGGCCTGCAGAGAGCAGGAGTGCGCTGGAGGGTGTGTGGAACACGTAGCCAACATGCACTGACACTGACGGTTCACTGTGCTGTTCTTCCCAGGTTCTGGGGCAACAAAGTGGGTGACAAGGGGGCCCAGGCCCTGGCAGAAGCCTTGAGTGACCATCAAAGCTTGAAATGGCTCAGGTAAGACTTCCTCTGCCCTACGGCGGTCATGTGAGAGCCAGGAGGAGCTTGAGCTGCTTTTGAAACTCTTTGAACTTCAGTTCTGCACTCCCATCCCCCGCCCCATCACCACGTGAGGCAGTCAGGACACTGAGTCTCTCTGGGTGACTTTGGAGATAGCCTTTGCCCTCTCAAGGTCTTCATTCACTCCCCATGAATGGGAGATGCAGGGTCGGATCAGGAGCGTTTGTCTCAAGAAGCACCTCCAGTGCATTGATAGTGGCTGCCCAGTGTACCATGTTGGGGAGGCCTCTAAGGCTGCTCCTGGCCTTAAAGACACTATAATCGATTAGTGATGTCTTAAGTGTAAAACAGTCCTGTAGCCAGTTAGTGATGTCTGATATGGAGCAGACTGGAGAGTGAGGCTGTGTGTGCTGTTTTGCTCTTTGTACATCAGCTAATCTCTGAGGTCCCTCTGTGCTCTGATGTTTTTGCTCCATGTTTACATCCAGCCTGGTGGGGAACAACATTGGCAGTGTGGGTGCCCAGGCCTTAGCATCGATGCTGGAGAAGAACGTGGCACTAGAAGAACTCTGGTGAGTTTGGGGGGGGGGTGTTCCCTGCTCGTGAGAGGCAGTGAACAGCCTTCGTCGGTTCCCTGGCCGCATCCATGGGGCCACCTTGGAAGGCGGAGTGGAGTTTGGGGAAGTTGAAGGAGGAGCGTGGACTGTGCACACAGTGCTGACCTGCAGGGACTCCAAGTTCTCCATCCTTTAGATGCCACTGTAGGGTCTCCTGACGCACTCTGGGCAGTTCCAGGTCCTAGCAGGGAGGAAAAAGGCTGAGTGTGGTTTCTTGAGGAAGGAGAAAGGCCCTGAAACCTTAGAGGCATTGCTAGAAATCGGATGTAGGCATACCTCGGAAGTACTATGGGTCCTGTTGCATCCCAGTGCAGTAAAGCAAATCACATACTTTGTTGGTTTCCCCGTGCATGCAAGTTCTGTTTACCGCTCATCTTCCAAGTGTGCAATTGCTTTATATCATAAAAAATAGTATATACCTTAATTAAAATATCCTTTATTGCTAAAAAGTGCTCATGATTAGAAAACTGGTGCTGGCAGACCTGCTTAACAGCAAAGATGCCACAGACCTTCACTTGGTGAAAAACCTGTCTCTGAGCACAGTGAAGGGAGGCAAACTTGTGCTACAACAGCCTTGGTCGTCGGCAGGGCTTGCTAGCTCTGCCAATTTGCCGCTGACTATATACTGATTAGATTTTGTCACTTGGATGTCTAAGTAGAGGAGCACCTCATTGTGAGTGCACCACTTACCACTGCTCTTAAAAACTTTAGACAAACTAAATTTGGCAGTGTTTACCTGAGCAAAGAATGCTCGTGGATCAAGAAGAAAGACTCAGAGAGCTCCACCCAGCAATGTGGCCAAATAGTATTTGCAGAGGGTAAAGGGAGGTGACACACAGAGAGAGCTTGATTGGTTACAGCTCAGCATTTGAGATGAGCTGACAGCCTGTGATTGGCTGACGTTCAGCTGCTATGATTGGCTGAGACTTGGCTGTTATACGAATATACTCTTAGATTGCAATTTATTTATGTGCTAACTTAGGTTGCAGGTCACTGCATAGGAACTCAAAGTATGGAGGTGGCTTCAGGCCAAATTTAGGTTAGTTTAACACTATATGAAGCTGCAAGTGATAGGAAACCTTCATCTACAGAAGCTTAAGCCAATAAAAGGTTTATGTTTTCGTGGACAGGCAATCTGAAGGTAGGTGACATAGGGCTGGTGTCGTAGCTACAAAAGGCCTAGTTTCTGTGTCTTTCTGGTCCATCGTCCTTAGCCTATGACTTCATCCTTACAGTTGTTGCCCCCTAATCACAAGGTAGCTGCCCCTACCTGCGCTATTACTTCTGTATTCCAGGATTCAGAAAGGATACAAACCTGGAAGGAGGAAAGCCACAGGCTGGCCAGGTCTCTTTCCCAGAAACCCCTCCTGTCAACTTCCTCTTGTGTATCAAAGCCCTGTGTATGTCTCTTGCCCAGCTCTGGCTGCAGTGGATGTTGGGAAATTATTTTTTTTTTTCACTGAGTATGTGACTGCCCCAAATGAAATGAAGCTTCCATTAAAGAAAGGGAATATGGTTGCTGGGGTATGGGAGGAACTCATTATCTAGGAGAGCCCTGGAGCAAATTCCCTTGCAAAATTGTCCTGGAATTGAGAATCTGCCTGCCCTAACTTCATCCATGAACTTGGGTGTTCAGAAGTTGGATTTTCTAAATGGGAGGGGGTATGCAGATTAATCTCTATGCACATCATGAATGTGATCTCATCAGTGAGGTTTTCTCTCTTGTTCTTGCCAGCCTGGAAGAGAACCATCTCCAGGATGCAGGTGTGTGTTCTCTCGCAGAAGGACTAAAGAGGAATTCAAGTTTGAAAGTCTTGAAGTAAGGACCTCACCAGTGGGAGCTGGGGCAGTGATGGCCGGCCTTGGGGAAGGGGTGTTTGTGAAGTAGAGCCTGGGGCAGCTGTGCAGCCAGAGTAACTCACCCTAGGTGGACAGCAGCAGCTTGTGTTAGTCTGGGTCGACAAGGATTCCAGTGCCAACATGGTTACTTGGGAGGTGGTCCAGCAAACACTGGTGGGAAAGTAGTGAAGTGAGGTGGGGGAGGGAAGGTAACCGATAGGGGCTGGTTCTTGAGCCAGTGATCACTGAGAAATTGGAGCTCAGTCCTGATGGGGCTCTACAGGAATGTGGAACATGGCTGGTTACCTAACCAGACAAGGGCCTTTATCCACCACGTGCTGCTGCCTCATATGCTTCGGGGCGGGGAGTGGGGGAGGGTATGAATTCTCCAGCACATGCAGCTTTGGGGTCAGGAGCAAAGCCTCAGGCAGAGAGAGGCAGGTCCTGCCAGCCAGTGGCCCTCAGAGTTGGAGGTCAAAGCCAAGTGAATATGGATGGGCCGGTTGCTGATAGAAATGTCTCTCCCTACTCCAAGGCTGTCTCCCTCTTAGGCGGGATGGCCATCGCCGGTGGTTTCTCTTGTGTTGTGCAGCATGCACGCTTGCATTTATAAAGGGCATCATTCATTCATTCATTCGTCATGCATTCATTCATTTATGCACACATTCATGCTTCTGTGTATTCATCCAAGATATCTTGCTTGTGCACCTGCTCTGGCGGTGCCGGTAGAATGAGGGAAAAAGGAGAGGGCAGGCGCCTGCTAACACAGCTCCTAAATTCTAATGAGGGAGACAGATAATGATTAAGCAAGTTAACAAGGTCATTTCTGGTTCCAGAAGGAGATGGGGAGAGGCTGGGGTTGCAGCAGCTGGTGCAGGGCTTTTCTGAGAAGGTGGCCCTTGAATTGAAATCTGATCTAGAAGGAGTTGCTACACTGAGGCTCTTGGAAGCACATTTCAGGTGGATGGAACAGCAAGTGCAAAGGCCCTAAGGCAGAAATGAGCTTAGTGGTTTCAGGGACAGAAAGCCAGCCTGTGCAGCTGGAATGTGATGGAGGAGTGGCGTGGGGAGGAGGTGGGAGGAGCTGGCCATGCAGGCCTCGGCCATGGCAAGGAGTTTTGGGAAGACTTTGGAGGATTTTAACCAGGGCAGTCATGTGATCTGGTTTATGTTATAAAAGGGTTATTCTTGCTTGTGTGGAAAGGAGACCAGAAGGTTAGAAGGCAGCAGGGAGACCAGGCAAGAGGTGTGGGAGATGAGGGAGGCTTGGACTAGGCTGAGGGAAGCAGAGGACGCTGGGAAAGGGGCTGTGGGACTTGAGGTCCTGGCAGCAGCAGGGGCTGGGGAGGTGGTGGGGGCACTGTTGCTTCCTCCATGCTAGTGGACCCAGTGGCTAGAGAACCACGCCACAAAGAAAGGGCCAGCAGGTGTGAGCTGGAGTCTGCCTAGCGACACCCCAGGTTGTGTCCATTTTCTCTGAAGCTGCAGCCAAGGCCTGGTTTCATGAGGACCTCAGGGTACAACCGATGGCCCCTTTTGTTGGGGGAAGGTAGCAACCGCCCTGGCAAATGTGGCCCGAGGAAAACACTTGCCTGCAGAGACAGGCAGGCGGCTGCCTCCGTGAGAGCACAGCTTTGCTGCCAGACCGCCATCCACTCTGGCCATGTGTGTTTGTGTTGTTTTTCCAGGGGCTAGGGACTTGCCAATGTTTGGGCAAAACACTTCCATTTGCCATTTGGGTGGAAGTGGGCTGGGAGGCTTGGGTGAAGCCTGGATTTGTCCCAGCCAGATGCCAGCTTTGCACCCTGGTGGGGTGGGGGTGGGGCTGTGGGTGTGGCAAGCTTGTCCTCCGACGGTGTCACTGACTTACCACACTGGAGTCCAGTGGATGCCAGGCAAGGGTCAGGGTGTAGGGGCAGGGACTGTCCCATGCTACTTGTCGCCAGCCTTGTTATTTAGCGTCCCCTTCCGCTTCCCTGTAAAGATGGAGCTGCCTGTCTTCTCTTGCCCAGGCTTAGTTTCTGCCAAGCATTGGTGAAGCATCCAGGCTGTGAGCCAGAGTTCACTTGCCAGCTCCACTGTCACAGCTGGTCCTCCTTGGCCAAGCGCCCCAGGGGCCTCGTGTGTAAATGGGGCCAACCCAACCCTCCTCCATTCACTAATGGAACATAGATAATGAGGGCCCTCAACAGCTGTTGGCTGTTCCTGGTAGCATTGCCTTAGGGGTCAGCTTGTAAGAAGTTCCCAAAGTGTGGAGGAGGGAGAAGATAGAAGTGGACATTTTCTAGAAGGCAAAGTGGAGCAAAATAGCGAGCTCTCTTCTCTTCCCTCCCCCTCCCCAGCTGCCTGCTTTCTCTAATCTGTGTCCCTGTGCACCCTGAGTCCCCCAAAGTGACATTTTTTATCAGTTTTATGTCTTATCAGTTAGGTACTGTGCCAAATGCCATAGATAAGAATTAAACAAAGAATGTCCTATCTCCACAAAGTTTGTACTCTTTTTTTTTTTTTTTTTAAGATTTATTTATTGATTTGAAAGGCAGAGTTAGAGAGAGAGGGGGAGAAGCAGCGATCTTCCATCAGCTGATTCAATCACCAAGTGGCTGCAATGGCTGGAGCTGGGCCTGTTGAAAGCTAGGAGCCAGGAACTTCCTCCAGGGCTCTCACATGGGTGCCAAGGCCCAAGGCTATCCTCCGCTGTTTTCCTAGGTGAATCAGCAAGGAGCTAGATCAGAAATGGAGCAGCCGGGACTTGAACCAGTGCCCATATGGGATGCCAGTGTTGTAGGCAGTGGCTTTACCCACTGCGCTACAACGCTGGGCCCAAAGTTTGTACTTTTGTAGACTCATTTTACAGATTGAGGAAATTGGGATTGATTTGCTTGAGATCCAACAGAAGTGTATAGGTTGGATTTGAACCCAGGGAATCTAGTACTGAAATGCACTATGTTACAGACCCTCCCCCATGGAGGGCCTCCTTGCCCAGATGAAGTAATCTGGTGAGCAGAGAAGGCTGTATTTCACTGAAGGACTGAGCCTCTGGGGCTGAGCTCAGACATGAGAGGGGCATGTCTAGGGAGTGGGTGGGACTCAGAAGGCCAGCTAATTCCCAAAGCCTCTTTAACTGGACAGGCGCAAGAGGAAAGCTGAGCGTGCCTGAAGCTCACCATCCCACCTTCTTCTCCAGGCTGTCCAACAATTGCATCACCTTTGTGGGGGCAGAAGCCCTCCTGCAGGCCCTGGCAAGCAATGACACCATCCTGGAAGTCTGGTAAGGTCCCTGGGCAGACCTGTTCACTTCACTGAGTCTGTGGTTTCCAGTCTGGAAAATGGAGTGAGGGGAGAGAGGAACACCTGTGTTTTGAATATCCCTTCTGACTCTCACAGTCAATTTGTTCTCAATGCAACAGATCTTGATCTCTGTCTGGGAAGTGGCTTCATATCTCTATAAACAGTGACCGATAATTGAATTTTTGAAAAAAGATTTATTGGGCCCAGCACTGTGGCAGAGTGGGTTAGGTTGCCACCTGCAGCACCAGCATCCCATTTAGGTTCTGGTTCAAGTCCCAGCTGCTCCACTTCCCATGCAGCTCCCTGCTAATGTGCCTGGAAAGTAGTGGAAGACCCAAGTCCTTGGGCCTCTGCACCCACATGGAAGACCCGGAAGAAGCTCCTGGCTCCTGGCTTTAGCATGGCCCAGCCCCAGCCATTGTGGTCATTTGGTGAGTTAACCAGGGATGGAAGACCTCTCTCTCTCTCTCTGTCACTCTACCTTTCAAATAAATAAATCTTAAAAGAAGAAAGAGAAAAAGGATTTATTTATTTATTTGCAAGGCAGAGTGGCAGAGAGAGAGGGAGACAGGGAGAGAGAGGGAGAGAGAAATCGAAATCTTTTATCTGTTTGTTTACTCCCCAAAGAGCTGCAACAGCTGGGGCTGGGTCAGGCTGAAGCCCAGAGCCTGGAACTCCATCTGGGTCTCTCGAGGGTGGCAGGAACTTATATGGACCATCCTTTGCTGCCTTCCCAGGCACATTAGCAGGAAGCGAAATCTGAAGCTGAGTAACCAGGACTCCAGTTGGCACTCTCGTATGGGATGCAGTAAGCTGTGGCTTTAGCCACTGGGCCACAGCACTGGCCTGGCTTCTTTCATTTGAAAATCGTGAGTACCTACTGAGAACTTCTCTGTTCTAAACAGCCCAGTGGATAGGGGTATGGTTGAGAATGAAATAAAGGAGCACAGCTTCTGCGCCCTGGGCATTGCATCCACCTTCACAGGTCAGGCTGTTGTATCAGAGCCCTGCAACACGGATGGCGGCTACACAGGGTGGAGCTGCTGCACAGTCGCATGTTCACCTCTAGGTAACTGAAAGCTGTAGTCCTTCCTCCACGTGGAGAGAGTGTTGAAATCAAGGATTTGTCTTCCTTGTTTCCAAACATCTCTTTCTCGCTCAAAACCATCAGGAAGGTTTCCCCTGGCTTAACACATCATGAACAGGTTTTACCATATGTATTTCAGACACTGGGTTACATACCAATATTTTAAAACTGTATTGCAGGGTTTTCTTTTCTTTTCAAAAGATTTGTTTATTTATTTGAGAGTCAGAGTTACAGAGAGGCAGAGGCAGAGATAGAAGCAGAGAGAGGTCTTCCATCCACTGGTTCACCCCCCAAATGGATGCAATGGCCAGAGCTGGACTGATCCAAAGCCAGGAGCTTCTTCTGGTCTCCCACGTGGGTGCAGGGACCTAAGCACTTGGGCCATCTTCTGCTGCTTTCCCAGGCTTTTAGCAGGGAGCTGGGTTGGAAGTAGAGCAGCCAGGACACGAACCAGTGCCCATATGGGATGCTGGCATTGCAGGTAGGGGCTTAGCCTACTATGGCACAGTGCTGGCCCACAGGGTTTTCTTAAAAAGAGCTGGCAATCCAGAACCCCACGCAGAATTTCAGTAATTATCCAGAGAGAAAGGGCTGGTCCTCTCGGATGAGCAGATGGGCAGATGGGCACACCAATTTGCATCTGCAGACCCTCCACACCTACTGTCATATTTTTTTTTTTAAGATTTATTTTATTTATTTGGAAGGCAGAGAGAGAAAGAGAGAAAGAGAAAGATCTTCCATTTGCTGGTTCACTCCCTAAATGGCTGCAATGGCCAGTTCTGGGCCAAGCCACGGCCAGGAGCCAAGAACTCCATCCAGGTTTCCCACATGTGTATCAGGGGCCCAAGTTCTTGGGCCATCCTCTGCTGCTTTTCCAGGTACATTAGCAGGGAGCTGGATCAGAAGTGGAGCGGCCAGTTTTCTAACCAGTGCTTTGATATGGGATGCCAGCATTCCAAGTGGTGGCTTAACCCCGTGTGCCACACCACCAGCCCTACACCTACCGTCTCAGCCCAAGCGCTTTGGGCTCCCGCATGTTACAGGGCTAATGCCTCATCCCTGCAAGGCCGTGTCCCCCACTTCAAATGTGCAGATCTTGTCTTTTCCTCAAAAAGCATATCAAGGCAGCAGCAAATGTTGATATCAAATGACAACATTAAAAATAAAAGCTTCTAAAGACGGGGCTGGAGAGTTTTCTCTCTGTATCATTGAGTAATCCCTGTAGCTTGGGAGGTCATCAAGTCCTGGGCAGCGTGTAGGTTTTCTCTCTTTCTTTGGTGAAGCCACTGCACAGCACTAAGGAATGTCACAGTCTGTTTCCAAGGCGCAAGCCACCAGCATCAGGTTGATATTTTAAGGGTTATGATGTTGTTTGCTGCCTGTTGACAGAGCCTGGGGGAGCAGCAGGACTTGCTCATTGCATTCTTGACAGATTCTGCTGTTGCCTTAAAAAGAACGGCCGGCCTTGGGCCGCGTGTGGCGCCCCCGCGTTCTGCAAAGTCACGGAGCCTTGCATGCAGAACACTTCCTGCGTGCCCTGGGTCCCAGCGCAGACTGCCCTCCAGGAGCACTGCCCCTGGGCTGGGCCCCTCCCCGGCGTGGGCTGAGAGCGGAGCAGCGTGGTTGGAAAGCACTGCTCTTTCGTTGTCCTCACGCAGACCTCTCCACTTGGTCCCCTGCAGGCTCCGCGGGAACCCTTTCTCTCCAGAGGAAATGGAGGCGCTCAGCCACAGGGACAGCAGACTCTTGCTGTGACGTCTGTGCGTTTGGCCCCCAGGAGCTGCGTCCCGTCTGGCAGTGGCCCATTCCGACTGAGCTCTGTCCTGCCCAGAAGGACAGAGCTTCCTCTGTCCTTCCTCTGGAAGAGCCGGGAGCCCAGGAGTCTTCCCCAACAGGCTTCTCCCAGGCCTAGTGTTGCCTTCGAGTGCCTCCCAAGATTCAGCCGATGGGCATACAAGAGGCACTGCAGGGTTCTGATGTGGGTCAGTGGGACGTGAGCATTAGCACAGACCCCTGCCCATTCCTCTCAGGAAGCGGGAAGAGTATTCAAGAAGCAACTTCCTGCCACGTCTCAACTCTTGGACGTCCGCCTAGCCATTGTCACCTCTGGTCCTGCCACTCAGCCTGGACTGCTGCACGTGATGAAATCGAGAAGATTCCTGTCCTCGGCTGTGATATATCACGGATGGCACCCCCACCCTAGACCCAGCGTCCAAGGCGGGAGGGGCTACAACTGCCCCCGCTGTCTTTTCTGGTGCTGTTGGAAGGGGACCCATGACCGCCATTTGTTCCTCAAGACATTCTGGATTTGCACAAAAGATACAAGCACACTCCAGCTGAGATCACAGGGGGACTTTCCTTTCCAGTGGAATCAATTGCTCCTCAGTGTGGCCTTGAGAAACAGCTCCTCATCCAAATGCACCTTTTGAAAATTAACCTGGGCCAGCATCACAGAGCGCGCCAGGCTTCTGGTTGGTGTTTGTGTCCTGAATGTTGATGACAGGCTTCCCAGAATGCTTTGGGACACTCAGTTATGGAGTGAAGGTTTACAGGGCAAAATCGGGCCCCTCCTTGTAAGCAGACGTCTCTGGGTCTTTCAATAGGATGCCTATGAAACCTTCGTGAACCATCAGGTCCTGTGTCAAAGATGATGACGTGTGAAAACTGTTTAATATTTATAAACCACCTTGTATTCTCTCAAGTTTATACTTTTATAGAAAACATGACCATGAACTTTGTGCTATAAATAATCACAGAAAACAACTGCATCACCAAAGCTGTCTTTGTTGTGACCAAACATTTTTTAAAAAGATTTATTTATTTACTTGAAAGTCAGAGTTACACAGAGAGAGCAAACATTTTTAAATAATCATAAAACTTGTCAAATTTTAAGGCACCATTTTCGACTGGAAGGGGGAGGGAAATGTTTTCAACCGGGTGATTTATTGCTTCAGGCAGAAGCAAGTCTTAGAAATAGGCCTGGCAATCAAAACACATTTGGCTGCGGCTCTGAAGGGTCTCACCCAGCATGAAGTTCTGAGCAGTGCGGGAGCCTGGCGTGCCCAGGCAGAAAGGGTATAGCAGGTGCGCCAGAGGCCCCGTGTCTCTCTTGATCCTCTCCAAGTGGCTCCAGGAGTCTTTAACGTTAGGAGAAAGATGGGGGAGATCTGTGTACAGCTTTCTTCTACGAGCAGCCTTCTGTGTTGAATTGTTCTTCGCTGCACTTAATGAGCAAGGGCTCAGGTGGCTGCTTGCCAGAGAGAAGTCTTGCTTCCTTGAGGTTTTGTGTGTGTCTGGTGCACTCAGTGCTGCGGCTTCTCCCTGGGCTCCTGTGTGCAAGTGTGTCCGTGGGTCTCTTGGCGGGTGGTGCTCTCTTCTGCCCAGACCATTGTTTCTGGTGTAGCAGGTGGAGATGAGGCTGCTTTCTGTGAGGCACAGACACACACAGCAGTCTGCGCCACGCCGTAGTCCTCAGAGTGGTTCAGCAGTGATTGATTAATTAGCCAGGCGTGTTAGGACAGCCCATAGATGAACGGGGCAGACACAGTCCCCAGCCTGTGGCACTGAAGGGAAAGGGAAGGAGAGGGCAGAACACAAGTTCACCACAATGTAAAAATGCATCCAAATAGAAAGTAAGGCCCATTACGGTAAGGCCTAGGAGGGACAGAAGCAAAGTTGTGTGGTGGAAGGAATCTTCTTCAGACTAGGGGTGGGTTCCAACAGGTTTTCTGAGGAGGAGCCGGCTGAGCTGTATCTCCAAGGATCGGAAGGGGCTGGACACACAGAGGCAGAGGGAAGAAGGGACTTGGTGGTCGCGAGGAACAAGCTGGACAAAGACCTTGTTGTGAGAAAGAGGTCAGTAGGTGTGGCAGGGAGAATAATGGCCACCAAGGACACGCAGGTCCTAACCCTGGAGGCCTGTGAATGCTGCCTTGCCTGGCAAAAGGCACTTTGCAGATGTGAATAAGGGCCTTGAGTTGGGAGATGATCCTGGCATAGCTGGATGGTCCCTAAACGCGGTCACAAGTACCCTTGGAAGACAGAGGCATGGGGAGGTTTGACACAGGACAAGAAGGCAGTGTGACCGCTGAGGGAAGAGGCTGCACTGCTGGCTTTGAAGCTGGAGGAAGGGGACACGAGCCAAGGGACGTAGCTTTAAAAGCTGGGCAAGGCAAGGAAACCTCTGGAGGGAACATGGCGTCCCCTGCCTTGGGACCAGCCCGTCTAGGGGCTTCTGGCTTCTAGGACTGTAAGAGAGTAACTGGTGTCCTTGGGTTTGTGGTATTACAGCAGCATAGGAAGCTCAGAGACAAGTGAGGGGAAGGCTGTTACTACATGGGTTTGCACAGGTAGGTGGGGCCAGTTCAAGAAGGGCCTGGTGGCCATGGTCGAGGAGTTGGTCTTTGATCTTAGAGCAATGGCAGATTGTTAGAGGGGGATAAATACAGCCCAGTTTTCACTTTCAGAAGACCTCTTGCTCCCGGGGGGTGGGGGCGGGGAGCAGTGATGGGACTGGAATAACACAACCATGGGGATGGTGCTGTTGCAAGGGAAAGGCACTTGATCAGCCTCAGGTGTTGGTAGTGGAAGTAGAGTGAAGACATTTTGCAAGGATGGGGAATATCTGTCCTGTGGACCATATAAGACCCACCAACTTGCTTGGCAACTGCAGGTTGCTTGGAATTCAACAAATCTACAGCAGGCTACTTTGTAAGTTATTTTTTTATGGCCCATGAATGCTGTTATAAATATCCATATAGCCCTTGGCAGAAGAGCGGTTCCCCAGCCCTCTTAGACCCAGATTTCTAAGGGCTCCCAAGTGGATGGGATGAGAAGGGAAAGGGGAGAATCGAGGATGACTCCGTGATTTCTGACTTGAGTAGCTGGGGACCACGGGTAAGAAGCAAGCTTAGAAGGGGGCAGGACTTGGGTTTGATGTTGTCAAGTTTGGGATGAGATGTGGAACTGGGGAGGCAGGTGGGGATGCCGAGGTGGGGTGGGAGTCTGGAGCCCACAGAGATGCCCCAGCCAGAGCTAATGGCGGTGGGGTCCTCCTCAGCGTTGGAATGGGGGTGGGGTCTTTGGGCATGGATGCCACCACCTAGGGGGAAAAGAGGTTACAAGGGTGGTACTGAGATTTTGTGATGCAGTTAAGGTCAGAGTTCAGAGTAGGAGAAGGTCCATCAGTTTCAAAAGTTTGGTAGTTATTACTGAACACACTCCAGGACTTTGCAGGGAACTAGTGAGCTGGGAGTCTTCATCTTAAGGTGGTAGGTGGGGGAGTTGCCTGGAAGGTCAATGCTCATGGCCAGGGGCTTCAGGAGCAAACAGCCCACCGATGTGTGCCAAGAATGCATCATATTTAGGTGAAAGAAAAACAAGCTGGAGGAGCAGGAGCATTTTCAATAGAGCCCCAGACTTTAATTATCCGCCTCATCTTTCTGGAAGAAAAAACATGTCAATCCAAGTGTTTCTGTCCTCCCCGCTCCCCCCGCCCCACTCCGCCTCACAGCACCAAAACAAGATGCTGAAATGCTGCCACCGCACAGTGTGTGAGAGGTGGAGTCACGTTCCACGGGGGCTGAGTCGAGGCGAGAGCTTCCTCCCATGGTTGCAGCAATCCGGCTTGAAGTCCCCCTGCAGGCGGGCGTCCAGCGTGGTGGGTAATGTGCACAGCATCAGAGCGACACCCTGGCGATGCCGGTGCCTGAGGGATGCACAGTGGCAGATCCTGGGTGGTGGTGACCGGTGAATGGCAGAGGCATAAAGGATGTCAGGATGGGCCCCGGGCAGTTTCCCCTGGGAGGGTTACATGTGAAGGACCCTAGCCGTGCACACTGGAAACCCAAGGTCTTTGGCTGCTGCTTCCCCTACATTTCTTTTTTCCCTCTCTAAATTCATTCCTACATTATCATTGCTTCCCGAACAGTCCACAAATCCAATCCTGTAAGCATCAACCTTCTCCCGTCAGCCTCTTGGGAGTGCCGCATTCCTTCTGTGTCTGGAACAGCTTCTTTGACTCTTCAGTTCCATGTGCCCCTCCTTCCTGCCTCCTACCTGCCCTCTCCCCGCCCGCAGGAGACAAGGGGCTCCTCTGGGACCTGCTCTCCCCTGGGTTGCTGCAACAGTCTCCTGACTGGTCTCCCTGTTTCTGCCTTGAACTCACGTGTGAGCCGTTCAACTGCCTGTCAAATCAGCCACTGTGCCCACCCAGACCCCCTAGGATGTCACGTGCAGGGTCAGTGTCAGGGTGTCCTGTTGACCTGGATGCCCCCTGCGGCTTCTCTGGCCTCCCCTTTGCTCCTCACTCCCCCATTCTGTGTGCTGCAGCCACACTGGCTTCTTTGCTCTCCTTGGACAGTGCCAAGCGTGCTGCTGCTTCCTGGTCTCTATACTTGCCCATCCCCCGCTCAGGACCACTCTTCCCCTTCTAGAGAGTGGTGTGGCTCACTTCATTTCCTGCATGTCTTTGTTCAAATGCCACCTCCCAGTCCTCAGTCACTCTCCCCCCTCCCCCCCCCCCCCCGCCCGGCTTAACAGCAGGCACCACCTGATGCACTTTTGTGTCTTTCTTCCCCTAGAATATCAGCCCCCTGGAACAGGGGCCATGTCCGCTACAGCATCCTCCGAGTCCACAGTGGTGCCTGGCATGTAGTAGGTACCCAGTAAACAGTTGTGGAATGAATAAAGAAGCTGCTCTATTTCAAGGGACCAGAAAATGGAAGTTGGGGCTGCTTCTAAGAACCAGTCCCCTTTTCCCTCCTGCTGTTAGTGTTTCCTTCCTGAGGGAGGAAGAACGTTCTGACGTGAGACCATGCCTAATCCATCAGCTGCCCGAAATGTGCTCCAGGGGTACCACAAAGGTCTCAGTGAACAGCACTGTGTCCTGGTCCTTTCTGGGGGTGTTCCTAGAATCACACAGAAATCATTTGTCAACAGTAAAAACGCTCAAATGAGAGAGCAGGGGTTTATTGTTCAGCTGGATTAGTTTACAGATGATTAAAGTAATCCCCCTTATCTCATCAGAAAGAGCTTTTAGGTGACCAGTGTGGAGTTGCACCTGGGAGTCTCCCTCCCTGAGAGGGAATCGCATCCTCAGTCCTCCGTGCCAGCACAGTGCTGGGATGCCATGGAGAAAGCACTGGCACCCTGGCTTTGCCTGTGGGGATGCCTCCGTCCAGTCAGCCCTCGGCTTACGGCTCCTGATCACCCATGGTCGCAGGATTGGGGGGAAGATGGCTGGGACCATGGGAAGCTGACGCCCACCTGGAAGTTGCCAGTTACTGGGATGAGGAGGGCAGAGGATTGCAGTGGGAGTGGGGACCCTCAGGAGTGCGCTTCTGGCGGTGTCGAGTGGGAGGTCACCGAGTGGGTAGTGGGATCAACCCTGAATCTGGTGCGTCTGGGAGTGCCTTGTAGTGGCCATTGGGAAGCATGGGGCAGGAGCTACGAGGAACCATGACCAGGGCCACCAAGAGGGCTCCTTGAGTCCTGATGGGGTGTTTCTCAGGTCATAGACCCTACTAAGTAGCCTAGAGTTTACCACCTCATGGGGAGGCAGAGGGCTGCATTTGCTTTGATGGCTGCTTGTTGGGAACCATGAGAGACAATTTAGAACCAGAGTCAAGCACCCTGTTCGACTCCCTTCCAAGGGTTGGAATGACGACCAAGGCATGACCCTGGCTGCCAAAGCCCTGTGGTGTCACATTGCCTGGGCTTTGTCTTTTCCTTTTCTTTTGAAAGAGTTACACAAAGAGAAGAGAGGCAGAGAGAGAGAGAGGGAGAGAGGGAGAGAGAGAGGGAGAGAGGGAGAGAGAGAGGGAAGGAGGGAGGGAGAGGTCTTCCATCCTTTGGTTTACTCCCCAGATGGCTGCAACGGCTGGAGCTGCACCCATCCGAAACCAGGAGCCAGGAGCTGCTTCTAGGTCTCGCACAGGGGTGCAGGGGCCCAAGGACTTGGGCCATCTTCTGCTGCTTTCCCAGGCCATAGCAGAGAGCTGGATCAGAATATAGCATCTGGGATTCGAACCAGGGCCCATATGGGATGCTGGTACTGTAGACCACGGCTTTACCTGCTACGCCACAGCGCCGGCCCCTTGTCTTTTTCAGTTCCTTCCGCGTTTATGTCCTTTCCTGTTCCCTTTGGACCACCCCCCTGCCCTGCCTTCAGCTGGCACTCACCTTCTCCCCCTTCTCTTAAGGGTGACTTCCTCCAACAGGGCCTTCCTGAGTTCCCAGCCACCCTTGGTGTTTGCTCAGAGGCGGTGTCCTTGGAAGTTCACCACTGTTGCAATTGGGTGATTGTTGGATCAGTTTGTTAAAAGTTGTCTCCCCTTGCCAGAGGCAGGGGGTGCCATCTCTCACACACTTCTGTGTTTCCTGGCACCTGCTCAGTGAGTCAACCACCAGTTGCATGAGCCCGGGGCCAGGCTGAATGGGACAGGCCATGGGCTAGTGGGCAGACAGGTGCTCAGTGAGGGCTGGGCCATCTGCAGAAACTCCTGGAAGAGGCTGGGACTTCCATGAAGGAAGAATCTGGAATGCAGAGGATGGGCATTTCAGTTGGAGAACCTACTTAAACACAGTGGAAGGAGCCCTGGCTTGGCATCAGGAAAAATCAGGGTTTCAAGCCATCTCCTGGGTGGCTGGAGGAAGTTATTTTCCCTCTCTGGACTTTCATCTTTGGACTTTAATCAAGGACTGCAAATACAGGATGCAATTTCCCCATCTCATCCCCTGGCGGTCACCTCTTCTGCGAGGTGAGGCTGAACACAGCTTTCAGAATCAGCTTCGATATAATGGTCCAGGTGGCTGTTATCAGCTGATAGGAGATGGTGATTGAGATAAGCCCATCTGTCAGCCTTGAGGATCTGTTGGGTGGGTGGAGCAGGCCCTGACACTGATTCAGTAACCGTGATGGGAGGATCGAGAGGGGGACCTGGCTGTTCCTGGTGGCAAAGAAAGCCCCAGTGAAGCAGAGTTCAGCAGCACTGGACAGCGTCATCAGAGGTGCCCTTCAGGGGCCAGGTGGTAATGCAAATGAGAGAAGTGGTCCTGGGGACGGAACAGAGAATGGGGAGCAGTGTGGCCAGGTGCAGGAAGTGAGAGGGCTTGTCTTGTGTGAAAGGATTCAGAATACCTCTCCCTCACTCCACTTCCTCTTTTCTTCCCTCCTCCTTGGTATATGGGCAAGCAAAAACCATCTTGAGGCTAATAGTTTCTCCCAGCCAGCCAGCCTGCCTACGACCTTTGAGCCCTATCAGCTTTATTGAAGAATCGAACTCTACAGGGGAACAGCGCTGCCGGAGGCCACTGGAGCCAGACTCCCAACTTGTTGCTTCTGCTGCAGTTTAAGGGTAGACCAAGGAGGAGCGGGAGGGGATCAAGGCTTAGGTTTTCAAAAGAGGTCCATTTCACTCCGGGCGATTACGGCAAGGGAGTTAGTAATCACTTCTATGACTAGTTTTATGCACTCATTGGTTTCAGTTCCCTAGATCTTCAGAAACGTATCGCTTTCCACTGGGGAAATTTGTGTCATTAAATACGCACATGCACACGCGCGCGCACACACACACGCACACACGCGCGCACACACACCCCTCCTCCTTTCTCAGTATTAATCACCTTCTTCCATAATTAGTACCTAAAATGTCAAAGGAGAAGGAAGTAATTAACAGGAGTATCCAGTGCAGCAAGTCCCGCTGCGAGGCTCTGGGGCTGATTATAAAAAGCATTTCCTTATATATTTTGAGCACTTTTGGGAATCGGATCCGTAACTACACCCAAGTGCTGGCTGGCGTCCAGGGGCGCGGGGCTGGGTGAGGCAGCGTGCAGAGAGGGAGATTCTGGACCCGCGCAGGTGACGACAGACTAGCAGGACTCGCAGGCCTCTTCTGGAGGGGAGGAAGACACTCCGGCGTTTAAGCCAGGTGTCGCTGTCACCTCCATTTTACAGATGAGAAAACTGAGACCCAGTTTGAATGCGAGGTCCCCCATAACTGGTGACTAATTGAGAGAGCAGCAGCTTCGAACTTAGGTCTGATTCTAAAGCTTTGCTCTTTTCTGGAACCCTGGAACCCTATTACCAGCTCTCATCCGGGCTCCTCCCCTAGCCTCCTTTTGACAGCTGAGGCAGAGAGCCGAGACCCGAGCATGAGCTTGAGAGGCGGAGCTGGGACTAGCAAAGCGCCCCGCCCCGGCTCCGACATTACCCAATGGTAATGAGGCGTCCGTAGTCTCTCGTCCAATCAGTCAGAGCTCCCCGCCCCCATCCCGTTCTTCTCCGCCCTTCCCCTCTGCTTTCCCTTTGGCTCCACCGAGCTTGACAGAGCGGAAAGTCCCTTCATCCAGCGACGGGCGGGCAGCCATTGGAGGAAGGTCTGTCACAGGAAGGCCCAATCAGGGCGCGCGTAGGAAGGGAGCTCTGGCAGCGATTGGTTAGCTCAGCGGTCGCCCTCTCCGCCCCCGCTCCCTCCTTCCCTCTTGGGCGGTTCGGAGGCGGGGCAGGTGGGGGCGGGCCCAGGTAGCAGGTTCGGCTGCGCGGGGGCCGCGCGTCGGAGGTAAATACTAGGGTGGTGGGTGTGGGGCGACGGGGCCGACCCGGGACGTGGGCTAGGGAGCCTGGGCAAGGGGTTACGTCCCGCCGCTCTAGGTGGGTGAGTGAGTGAGCGGGCGGCCGAGTGGCCGGCGGCCCAGTCCTCTGAGGCGCCCCTCCCCGGCCTCAGGGCTCCTGGAGCCGCCGCGGCGACGGTCGGGCCTCGGCGCCGGCCCGTTAGTTGCCCCGGCCCGCCGAGCTTCCCCGGCCCGCGAGGTGCTGAGCCCACTGACGTCAGCCCGGGCTTCCCCACCCTGGGTCTCCACTTGTCGCCGAGCCTTCCCGGGAGTGCTCGATCCTGAGTGGTGGTGGCAGCTTGGCCGCCGCCTCTGGGACTCCCGGAGAAGAGGGGTCTTGGGGTGAAGACAGTGCGGGACTCAGTCTCCGTTTCTGCCCTGCCTCCCCGTTAACAGACGGGGAAACTGAGGCACGGGCCTCCGGCTGGCCCCGGCCGGCCCCCGCTGACCCCGAGAGCCCCGGGTTGCGGCGTCGCCCGTCCGTGTAGAGGGGCGTTTGGATCGGTCGGTTTCGAGGTGTTTGCGGCGCCCGTCCAGGAAGAGCAGCCGGGGTTCTGACCTCGTTAATGGCGTGTTCTGCTTCTTCTTTCCGTTTCCCGTTTCCAGGTTGAGGATGGTTTTGCACAACAACCTGGAGTTCTGTAGTTGAAAGGTGCGCCCTGTTGCGACAGGTACTTTTTTTTTTTTTTTTTTAAATCCTATTAAGCGTGTGTGGGGGAAATCATGAAGTCTTGAAGGAGGATGGGGTTTCTGAGTTCGGTGCTCATCTGGGTCAGCTGCTGGGCTATTCGTGTACTTGGCATCCTGTGCCACCCCTTGGCATTTGCGTGTTTTGGGCTGGTTGTCGTCTTCTAGCCAGCAAGCTTGTGGCTGCCCAACCCCCTCGTCCTTGCCACCTTGCTCTCCCCAGTTTCCCCTGGAAAGTTGTATCCTTAGCTAATGAGCAGTCCTATCCTGCTTTTGATTTGGGGCCAATTAAGATTGTTCATTTTGCAAACCCTGGTTCCCAGAGCAAAGCTCAGGCCGGGAGAGGGTGTCCATTCAAGTGGTAGCTTTCTGCACGCCCCCTCATTCCCCAAGTAGATTGAATGGCCCTAACAATTTAGCCTGCCATTCCCCACTGGGGAGTGGGTGGCTTTGAACTAGAACAGTGTTAGCAGGAAATAATTTGTTGGAAATTCCTCTTGAAGTTCAAGTACTGCAAATGCTGATAGCACCCAGACCGCTCTTTAATGGTCTGCCGGAGAATTGGTGGGTCTTCTTGTGCCAAAGGAAGGCGGCCTTCCTTTGGGTGGTACCTCTCTGGGAAGCTGGTAAGACCAGGGCACTTACTATGTAAAACAACGGACACTGGGCAACGATGATGTCTGCGGTTTGGCCGGGTACCTGTGGTTTTGTTTGATTTAAGGAAGTCTTTAACACAAGAAGAGAGAAGAGTAATTGTCTCACTCGTTAAACTGTTAGAACTGTGTTCCTGGATTTCAGAGCGTCATCTTCAATTTCTTACCTTGGTTATATAGAATTCCTAAGCATCACATACGGCGTGAGGCTCCACGGAGGCTACTTCCAGTGAGCCTCACAGTGTTCCCGGATTTGATTGTTCTTAGGTGTGTAACAGTGCAGTGCCGCGGGACTTCCCCATGACTTCCTCTCTCCAGAGTGAAGCTGTAGGCAGACCTCACCGAATCCTCCCAGCCCTTTCTCCTTGCCTCCCTCCCTTCGTTTGTTTAACCTGCAAGAAGATTTTAATTCCTTAAAAACAGGATGAGGAATGAGAGTTGCAGCTGTGGCTCTTATCACTTGACTTAGCCAAAAGTGTTTCGTTCGTTTCTCGCGTGTGGGGTCTGCGCAGGGGACATGGGACATAGGACATGTCAGTGAGTGTAGGATACTGTTCCTTGTTCTTCTGACACGAACGTGTTGGGGAAGGAGCCAGACTTTGCCTATCACCTGTTAAATCCCACTTGTTTTAGGGACTGTGTCCTTGTGTCACAAGTTAGTAAAATGAGGAACATGGAAATTAAGTCTCTCTTCTGGTCCTGGAATCCCCATGTTCCTGTGCTTGAACCATTTAAGAATTTAACAGCCAGTTCCTTTAGTGAGAGATGTTCTTTCTGACGAGGGCAACCATTCCAGCTGCCTAGAAGCAGTTGAAGAAAGGCCCACGGGTCTCCCTTGTTTGTTGTTTGAGCTGGCCTTCCTACTTCTTTGCCATTTATAAATAGGGGCAGTAATTTAGCATTGCAGCTTTAATTCGAATTTAGATAGCCTCCTATGATTTTTGAAACAGGGAGGCTATCTCGGCAGATACAAAAGAAGATGTAGTTCTTGAATTACATCTGTCTTTGTGAGCTGTTGGGAACAGTAGAACCTGGTGACTCCAGCGTGAAATGACACTTGTATCTTCTGGATAGGTTAACCATTGTGAGTTCTCTGTAGCTAGTGATATGCCTTTGTACTAGGTATTGTTTTTTAGAACACAGTGTTCTGGCCTTTGATATGTTTATGTAAAACTTTTTTTTGATCATCTGCTTTTCATGGGAGATGGATAAAATAATTGTGTTTTCCAGTGTTCCTGTTGGTTTGATAATTTTATCTTAATACGTTCAATTCCCCTTTGCTAGAATCCAGACCGTCAGGAAGCTCAGGTAACCAGATATGTTTTCAAATCCAAGTGACCCCGTTTCATGTTCAGTGTTGTCGAAAGCTAAGCCTTTTGTTCAGCATGGTTTTAGTGCTAAGTGTATTACTGTATTTCCAACTCTTTGGTAATCTTCATCCAGTACTTCAAGTAATTATCAGATATTCATAATCACACAGTTATCCAGCCTGAAACAAGATAGGATTTGACTGAGTCATTTGTTATATGCTCACCCTCTCAGTGATTTGACCTGCAAAGTATTCAGAGAATACAAGTGGGAATTTCTCCCTTCCCATCAACCCTCTGCCCCAGCTGCCCTACCTGGATTGTGAATGTGGCTGCACTGCTTGTCCCTGTGTCTTTGCTCCAGTGGCCTCTCCTGAAAGGCAGAAGTTCAATGTGTGTGGGGTGACTTTTGAAGGCAACTGCCATATGAATATATCTTTTTTTTTTTTTAAAGATTTTATTTATTTGAGAGGTAAAGTCACAGACACAGTGAGAGTGAGAGACAGAGAACCCATCCACTTGGTTCACTTCCCAAATGGCCACAATGGCTGGAGCTGGGCCAATCCAGAGCCAGGAACTTCTTCCAGGTCTCCAAGGACTTGGGCCATCTCCCGCTGCTTTCCCAAGCCTTAGCAGAGAGCTGGATCTGAAGAGGAGAAGCGGGACTAGAACCAGTGCCCATATGGGATGCTGGCACCATAGGCAGAGGATTAACCTATGCCACAGTGCCGGCCCCTGAGATATTTTAAGTCTTCTTTATTTTTCAGTGTCTGACACTGGACTCAGTGCATAAGATTACTGAACCCACAACCCAGCCTTCCTGGTTGATAAAGAACTCATTTACAATGTGATTTCAGTCTTCCCTGGGTTTATCGCTTGGGGTTAAGACTTTAACTCTTGTGCCTATCCCGTTTGTAAGAAGAATGCCGGTGTTAGTTTCTACTGTGAGAGGATGTATGTGTTAGCATATTACTGTTGTAATACTGCTGTTTTCAGAACATTAATGGTCATTAAATTTATCATCTGACCTGTCTGTAGACTGGAGCCATTAGTTCCCCATTCAGCTTTATCAGTTGCAACGAAGAGCATCAATTTTTAACATGATAGTTTCAAGCCCGTTTTTAACGTGGTCATTCTAAAAGAGGGAAGGCCACATCCTTTTTATTTTGGGATAATGTGTTATAAAATATTTAAAACTTTTGCTCAGGCCATTCTAATTGTCTGATGTGATCTGTCTGATCATTCTCACTGGGCTAAGGCAAGTAGAAAGTTACTGCTCCTTGTGTGGCTCACTTTAGAATACGATTCTTGAAAACCGCCGCTTTTGCCTTTAGTAGTTTTAGAGCCAATTAGTTATCTCAGTTTATTGGAGTCTGTCTCCCTTAAATTATTTGCAGTCTCATAATTAAATTCATTTAACATGGAATGCCCTAATGCATTACTGTTAGTAATTTAGTTTTGTCTTCATAGTATTTTATTAACACTCAGTTTTTATTTTAAATTGTGACATGGGTTGTTAAGCTCAAGAACCAACACAGTGGGAGTTGTTGCTGTCTAAATAATTAAGATTCAAAGCAGTTTCTGATTTTAATATTGCAAGTATTTTTAGGAATTAAAAATATTTCTTTTCAAAACACTCGTAGAATTGCTTTCCCTTTTGTTTTTTGATTGTTGGCCGAAAAATGTAAATCTCTTTTACAGAGAACCCAAACGATAGCACCCTTCTTTGGAAGTTCCATTTTGACTATCTGCACCTCCTCAGAGGGATGAGAATAATGTCTATGCAAGACAGCTCACGTCCTTTACCGCCTAAAGGTTCTTTCAGAATTTATGTGTTCCTCTTTTTGTTATTGTTGCTTTGTTTTTTTTTTTTAAACACACAAATCTACTTCATCATGTGGCTTCTCAGAACTGATTAGAAGCAGTAAGTTGGAGAGCAACAAGACCCTAAAAGGAGTCAAACGCATGCTGCAGGAAACCACAGAAAATGGCTGATGGCAGAAGAGAACTAGAGTGCAGATCGGTTCTCGCAGATGCGAGCGCTCAGGAAGTGTGCTGCACAGCCTGTGAGCACAGTGACGGACAGCCGTGCACACGCAGTCACACATCAGAATTTATGTTCATACTGAAAATTATGATCCAGGAAAAATAAGGCTGCTTTGCAAGCATTTTAGTGCAAAATAACAAACACATCCTGTTGGTGCTTCAGAGGGACAGAGCCTGGTGAAGGGATTGGGCAGCTGCTGGGCAGCACCTGCGAGGGGTCAGTTACACGCTGCCAGGATGGAGGTTTCCACAGGTGTCTTATGTAAGAGGCAGAGAGAAGTTGATCCCATCCTGCTGAAGTAGACAGTGCCCTCAAGTGGCATTCAGACAACCGCATCACAAAAAGAGGAGAAAGAAAAAGCACTTCTTGCTGCCCTTGCCTCTGTTCTCGTTAAACGTTGCCCAGGTGCGCCGACCCGGTTGGGCAGAAGGGGTGCCAAGCCCAGTGCATCTCGGGCATGTCCCCTTCTGACTTGTACAGGAACAGCCTTCTACTATGGGGCAAAAACTTACTAGCTAACAATTTTTTTTTTTTAAATAAATGTTCCTCTGTGTGTATAGATTTGCCAGATGGTTTCATCGTTAAATTATAAAACTTAAAATTTGGTCTCCTTAGTTTTAGGGGTGTTTGTTTTTTAATTGCAAGACTAGACCAGATGCATATGCTAGTGCTATCCGTTGCTGCCGTTACTCAAAGTAGTGGAAATGGATGCCTCTGGCCGGACGAAGGAGGAAATCAGTGCTGTGTTTGGAAACTAAAAAGCCACATCCTCATGACAGAGAATGCATAGAAACTATTATTTTCAGAAGAATAATGAAAATAAGGAAGTCTCAATTTGAATTAATGAGTTGCTTAATTGTGAAAGATTATTATTTTTGTAAAGATTTTAAATGAAAATTTGAAGCTGAAAAGGAAATAAGTCATCTTGTGACATTAAAACACTTTTATTTTAAATAAAATAAATGTTTGTAATTCAGTATCACAGTATTGCAATTATATGTCCTTATTACACGGTCCAAGTTTGAGTGTTATATAATGTTAATTAAAATTAAAAAGTTATTTAAAATTTATTTTATTTATTTGAAAGAGAAATTTCCCATCCTCTGGTTCACTCAGTAGCTAGGGCTGGGCAGGCAGAAGCTGGGAGCCTGGAACTCCATTCAGATATTCCATGTGGGTGGCAGGGAGCCCGCTCAATAGGACTTGGGTGCCCATCAGCACAAAGCCAGAATGGGGAGTGGTGCTAGGACTCCAGCCGGGCTCTGATACGGGTTGCAGATGACTTCAGCAGAGTCTTAATGGCCACAACAAATGCCTGTCCCCCTCCAAACTGTTTTTTTTTTTTTTTAAACATAATCAGATTATAATATCTGATATTTGTGATTGTGAGACATCAAATGTTGGTATGATGAATGTGATTAACATTTACCTAAGACAAAATGTACAAGATTAAGGAAATGAAATTGAGTCAGTGATAAAATGTTCCCTTATCAAAATATGGCATACAGATAAATGAATTGTGATTACAGTTTCTGAATGTAATTTTATATTTTTATTGATAGATGTTCAACACTATAATGGATAACTTTTTACTTAAACTGTTCTGAAATGATAGCCACTTTGATTTATAAGATTTATGTGTATTGTGCTCAAGAATAACAGCCTGCCCATTAAATTAGACAAAATCCATAAAAATTGCTCCTTTTTAAAGTTAAAAAATGTCAGAATATGTGTATCTTTAAAGGTCATCCTGAAAATTTTTGCTGGAATCTAATTATAAATTTCAGTGCCTTAAAAACAAACATTATTGTCTTTGAGAATATTCTATTGGATTTCCTTAAATCTGCAGAGTTACAGTAGATGCGAGCACTTGATGGCTTTTAGCCCTTTGTATGTGCTTCTGGAAATATTTCTTGTAAGTTCATGTTTACTAGTCAGATGAGATTTTAGAAAGTCTTTAAGCTCAATTTTAGGTCATGTAGAACGAAGTGTAAAGTTTCCTTTTGCTTCTTCGCCAGGCGTTTTGATTGCTGTCTTCTTACAGAATGGACACCAAATTGCTCAAAACATGCTTTGGGACTGCCTGTGAATTCATCTTCTGTGGTTTTACAACAAACTTACAAGTAGTTCCATTTTTTTTTGAGTTAATGTTTTGAAGTGAACGTCACAATGAGTTCAGGCTTATGGAGCCAAGAAAAAGTCACTTCACCCTACTGGGAAGAACGGATTTTTTATTTGCTTCTTCAAGAATGCAGTGTTACAGACAAGCAAACGCAGAAGCTCCTGAAGGTACCGAAGGGGAGTATAGGACAGTACATCCAAGACCGGTCCGTGGGACACGCGAGGATGCCTTCGGCCAAAGGCAAGAAAAATCAGATTGGATTAAAAATTCTAGAGCAACCTCATGCCGTTCTCTTTGTGGACGAGAAGGATGTTGTAGAAATAAATGAGAAATTCACAGAGTTACTCCTGGCGATCACCAACTGCGAGGAGAGGTTCAGCCTGTTTAAAAACAGGAGCAGACTAAGTAAAGGCCTCCAGATCACTGTGGGCTGCCCCGTGAAGGTGCAGCTGCGGTCTGGGGAGGAGAAGTTCCCTGGGGTGGTGCGCTTCAGGGGCCCCTTGCTGGCAGAGCGGACGGTGTCCGGCATCTTCTTTGGAGTCGAATTGCTGGTAAGTTTGAGGCACCGTTTCAGTAGACTGGAGGGAGGGGTGTGTGCATCTGTGTGTCTCTGTGTATTTGTATATACATATGTATTTTCCCTTTGAAAACAAAATATGGTTTATAGGATGGTGCTGTAATCATTAGGATTTACTTTAAAAATCATTTATTTTCACTTTATTTGAAAGGGAGAGAGAGAGAGAGATAGACAGACATATCTCCCAAATGGTCAAAATGGCTGGGGCTGTGCCAGGCCAAAACTGGAGCCTGGAACTCCATCTGGGTCTCTCATATGGGTAGCAGAGGCCCAAGCACCTCAACCATAATCTGTTGTCTCCCAGGTTGCACGTTAGCAGGAAGCTGGATTGGAAACACAGTAGCCAGGACTTGAACCAGGCCCTCTGATATGGGGTGTGGGCACTCCAATGGCAACTTAACCCCACTGTGCCGAATGCCTACTCCAGGATTTGCTTCTTATTTATGAATTGAGATGATATAAAGGTGATGCTTACAATTTTAAAAAGCTGCCTGCTGCAGTGGGAATATATACATACAGATAGGTCACAGTTATTGCAACTTTCATTGAAATTTTGACACTGTTTTAAAAAAGAACTTTATCAGTTGTAATCACTTCAAAAATTGTTATTGTCCTGTGACATTATTATGTATACATTCCTCAGTTCTTCTTCTTGTGTGAGATTAAGTAAAGACAATTTAGATACAAGATTTAAAGAAAGAAGTTACAGTGATTTAAACTTGCTTATAGCTGTCCCTGCTAATATATGTGAAAATCATCTTAGAACTCATTTCTACTGGAAAGAGATTCAAGAACTCTGTAATTTATTTCCAAACTTAGTATTAATTCTTGAGAACTTAAGTCAATTACATTTTGACATTCTTGCAAATAGAATTTCATGCCTTGTTTGCTTCCTGATTTAATTTTTTAAAGAAGTAATTGTAAGACAGTTGGGGATTTGAATCCTAGTTATGTCATTTACGAGGTGGGTTGCCAGGTTACTTAACCAACCTACTTAACATCTCTAAGTCTGCTTCCTCATCTGTAGAACGGTAGCAGTACTCGATGTGTGATGTCTCTGCCATACATTGATATGGGATTTAGCACAGTGGCTGGCACAGAGTAAGTGCTCAAGAAATGGAGCCAACATGACTGTTATATTAAAATAAAATTTAGAATAAAAGTAATCTTTGAAATACATGTAGAATAGAGTCCAGCTCTCTCACAATAGAATTATGATTTTAAACTATCAAATAATTTTATTTCAGCATCTGGTAGAACTTCTTCCTTTAAAAAAATCCTAAAGCAACTGTTAATAATTACTAATTATTTACAGTTTTTTTTTTCAGGTTGATTTCCCTGAAATTCCCAGAAATTCCCAGAATGGGCCCTTTTTCCTGTGGGTCATCTTTCTGTATCTGTGTATCTGTTATTTTTTTCCCCTGTGTCTCTTTTGAAAACTAGGAAGAAGGTCGTGGCCAAGGTTTCACTGATGGTTTATATCAAGGGAAACAGCTATTTCAGTGCGATGAAGATTGTGGGGTGTTCGTTGCCTTGGACAAGCTAGAAATCATAGAAGATGATGACAATGGACTGGAAAGTGATTATGCAGGTCCAGTGGACAACATGCAGGTTGAACTTCCCCCTTTGGAAATAAACTCCAGAGTTTCTTTGAAGGTTGGAGAAACTATAGAATCTGGAACGGTTATATTCTGTGATGTCTTGCCAGGAAAAGAAAGCTTAGGATATTTTGTTGGTGTGGACATGGTAAGAAACTTTTGGATTATATTATCTTTGTGAATATATGTATTAGTTTATGACCAATTTAGGTACAAACTGAACACTTTGAATATTTAAAATGGACTAACTTGGAGTACTTTAAAGAACATGTTCTAATTTATCTTTGGTAAAAGAACATTGAAATGAGACAGGAGGCTCGATATAGAATTGCATTTAGTCTTTTGCTTCTAACTTGAAGAAACTGGAATAATGTTCTCAGTCTTTAAGTTTGTCTCAGTGTAGTTGACCAGTAGACAACGACAAAACCTGAATATATTAGGTGATGTTTTATTTTGGAATTTTTTTGTAATCCATGTTTCTCTTTTTGTAATATTTTATAAAATTTTAGTGGCTGATTTGATTTTAATGAATAATGTGAAAGTCATTTACAGAAAATATGTGAGTAGAGGAAAACCACATTGTTTTTGAGGAATAGACAATTTGAGTATTCTCAAAGGGTATCTTTCATTAAAAGTTTTTTTTTAATTTTGCTAACATTTATGTGATATAAAATTTACCATTTTAGCTGTTTTTAAGTCTAGGAGCATTAAGTACATTCTCATAGTTGTCCCACCAGTGCTAGCTGCCTGCAGAACTTTTCATCATCCCAAATTGAAGCTTGACCTATGAAATAACTGTTCACTCTCCCCACCCTGCTAATTGCTCTTCTGTGAATACTTTCTTGTTCTTTTCAAGTGTGTGTTTATTTTTATCTATTAGAAAGGCAGAGTGACAATGAGAGAGGGAGAGAGAGGTCTTCCATTGCAGGCAGACTCCCGAAATGCCTACAACAGCTAGGAGTGGGGCCAGGCTGAAGCCAGGAGCCGGGAGCTCCATCCAGGTGCCCCACACTCGAGCCATCATCTGCTGCCTCCCCTTGCTGCAGGTCGTGTGGTCAGACCCCAAACTTGGCGATAGCTGTTTATGCCTTTCCCTCCTGAGATAGGGGTCTAGGGATCATGCTGCTTACCCAGGGCAAGCTGCAGGGAGGTCGCCCTGGCAGCGTCTCGCCCTGTCCCTGTCCCTCCCCGGTTGCCTGTGCAGTCACTCATTCTAAACGCTCCTCTTCCACTCCTGAAGAGGAAGGGTCTCAAGCGCAGTTTTCTCCATCTGCTCCTGTCCCCAGGAACACTGTAGCCACGCAGCACCTTGGGGCTCAGGGCGCTTGTCTGACTCCAGAACAGCACTTACTGGCTGGTACTACATTGGAACATACCGTAATTAAATCTAAAAGTCCGTTTTGATGAAGAAGTTCTTACTTGCTCTTAAAGTGACAAAAGAGCAATTAAAAATGACTTTCTGGGCCGGCGATGCGACTCACTAGGTTAATCCTCCGCCTGCAGCGCCGGTACTCCAGGTTCTAGTTCTGGTCGGGGCGCTGGTTCTGTCCTAGTTGTCCCTCTTCCAGTCCAGCTCTCTGCTGTGGCCAGGGAGTGCAGTGGAGGATGGCCCAAGTCCTTGGGCCCTGCACCCGCATGGGAGACCAGGAGAAGCACCTGGCTCCTGGCTTCGAACTGGCTCAGCACGCCGGCCATAGTGGCCATTTGGGGAGTGAAACAATGGAAGGAAGACCTTTCTCTCTGCCTCTCTCACTGTCTAACTCTGCCCGTCAAAAAAAAAAAAAAAAAAAAAAAAAAGACTTTCTGTGTACAGAAAGACATATAGAAGTTCAGATTGATAAAGTGTTCAGAAAGTGTAAGAGTGGTCGGGGCAAGCTAGGGCTAATTAAGGACAAGTTTCTGGGTGAAATGATATATTATTAATAAAGCTTCCTGCAAAACAATGTCTTTGTAAACCTCAGATGAGTGCTGCTCCTTAGAATAAAAAAATCTGATTCTTTGTTCATCTGTGAGTTTATGATTAACTTAAATATCCTTGAGTCTCCCCCCCCCAAAAAAAAAAAGTAAAAAAGCGAAAACAAAACAAATGAACGAGCAAGCAAGCAAAAAAGCCTCATTCCTACTACATTTGTTTCTAATATATTCTTTCATTTGGGCAAAATAGTTAACAATTATAAGTGTAAAATATTTTAGAGGACCCTTTTATGGAGAATACAGACTTTCATATTTCTGTTTTTATTAAGGAGGTTTTTTAAAAAAATTGTTAATATAAAGAGAACAGATTTTATATATTCTAGAGGTACAGTTAGAAGAAGTTGCCAAACTTCCCTCCCTCCCCTGCTCCCCCTACAACATCCATCCCTCTCCCCTCTCTTCATCAGTTTTTGCAGACATAACTTTACTCTATATTCACAGGCGTAATTTGCAACTAATCATATTATTCAACAAGTAAAAAATAAGACCACAGTCTCACAGGAGTACCAACAAGGGCTAAGAACAACAGTCATATCCCAAAGTGACCATTTTGTTCCTATACTTTTTTTTTATTTGTATTAACTGCTACACATTAGAGAAAACATATGATATTTGTCTTTTTGAGACTGGCTATTTCACTAAGCATGATCATTTCCAGTGGCAATTCATTTTGTTGCACAAGAGAGGATTTCATTCTTTTTTATGGCTGAGTAGTATCCCATAGTGTATATACACACATTTTCCTTACCTGGTTACCAGCTGATGGACATCTGGGTTGATTCCGTATTTTAGCTATTGTGAATTGAATTGAGCTGCAGTAAACATGGGGTACAAATACTGAGGAGGCTTTTAAACTTATTTTACCATTCAATTTCTAGGATAACCCTATTGGCAACTGGGATGGAAGATTTGATGGAGTCCAGCTTTGTAGTTTTGCGAGTGTGGAAAGTACAATTCTCTTGCACATCAATGATATCATCCCAGGTACGTTTTGTGTATTTGTAAGTCAGAGCATCTAACGCATATTTTGTTTCAAGGATGTAAACATAAGCTTCAAGATAAATTTCTGAAACTGTACTTTTATATTATGGAATTACTAGATGGAATATCCTTCCTTTTTCTTTCCAGAAGTGAATAAATGTGAAGTGGGCTTTATACATTATCATTCTTTTTTTTTTTTTTTTTACCACTTACTCATTTTATGGGGGAGAAGCCCTTTTTGATAATTAGAAGGATCAGAAAATGCAATAAACTGCTACCTGTTTGAGTAAGATCTTGGTTTAACACAAAGCCTTTGAGCAGAAATTGGTTAATCTATCATGGAGATTATTGCTGGGTGATCAAGGAGATCCATTAATTTTTAGGTGGTATAATTGACCAGGCTTCATGGTATAGTCAAAAACTGATCACTCATCTTTAGAACTTAAAAAGTCTTAAGCAGCCTTTATTTTATATCAAACAAATAGCACCTAATGACTGTTGTCTGGAGATTGACAAATAACTGTTGATAGCATCGTCAGCAGTGCCATCCCCTGGCTGCTAGTAGAAGACTAGTGCAGTGAAGCTCGCCAAGGCAGACCTGCTGATTTCCTACCGAGCATTATGCAACTCTGAGTAAAACATCAGAAGGTCTGCAGGTAGACTGTAGCCAGGAATGAACCAAGCTCTGATTTAAATGACTGGGACCTTTCTACATTCTTGACAGACTTACAAGGTAGGTCTTAATGATTCCCATTTTACCCATAGAAACCTGGGATGCAAATAGGATGAAGATTAGAGTAAGTGGTAGAGCCAGAATTCAAATCCAGACCTGTGTGATTTCAGAGCAGTGCTCCCTCCAGTCCCTCTCTGCCCATATCCTGTGTGCATACTTAGGATGTGAGGCCTGCATGGAAAGTCTACTTTGCAGTTTTACATTTGTTCGTGGGAAATTGTTTCTATGGAGATGTATTTTGTCTCTAGTTCTATAAAAGCTGGATTTTACTATAGCAAGGATCACAACAGAACAGGCAAACAGGATAACAGGATTGTTTTGTTTTTTGCTTTCGAGTGTTTTTCCATTATTGCTAATCTTGACACAGAACACTTTTGAGTTCCCCATAGCTCATTTCAGGTTCTCAGTTTCTTTCTTTTTTTTTGGTAAAATGAAGGGGCTAACAATAGATGATCCCTAAAGTTCCTTGTAGCCTGCACTGTGTGCTCTTCCTGTTTCCATGTTGTTGCTTTTTGAAGTTAGCAAATGCTTTCAATTTTAGCTCTTAGTTTTATAGCAAGAGTCCATGAATTTAGTTGGAGTTATGGGATTCAGATCATAGTGTTATTTCAGTTTTGTTTTGTGAAAGTCTGATATACTTTACTCCTTTTGATTTCTTTAAAATCAGCTTTTAATTTCTTACAAATTAGGTTCTGGTTCTTTCTTTTCTTTTCTTTCTTTCTTTTTTTTTTTTTTTTTTTTTTGAGGTCAAGGCAACCTAATTGCATCCCAAACCATTTTCAAATCCACCTTCAACTCCATCTTTAAACTTCTGGTTATTTCTTTGCTTCCCTTTGGAAATGTCGCTCCCCCTCTTCGTGGAGGAACGACACTGAACCCTGCGCTGTTCTTTCGTCTGCTCGGCCCTCCCCGGGTTTGCTGCTGGTTCTTCCCGGGTTGGCTACTATCCCTTCCACCTCCGTGGAAGGGCAGTTCCCCCTGGCCACATTCCCCACTTCCGCAGGGGAGCGGCACACCGCCGGCCGGCTTTCTCGGGGGCTGCACGGGTTCCCTTTAGATGTTCCCCATAGATGTTCCCGGTGCATGCCGTCTCTCTCCTCCTTTATAGTCCTCCTCCACCAATCCCAACTCGGCTGCCCACACGCCGAGTACGCTGCTCTCCTCCAATCAGGAGCAAGTCCTACAGTTAATTGGTTGAACTGGAGGCAGCTGTGCGGAAGCTGTTTACTTCTCTCCCAGCGCCATATTGTGGGAGAGCAGATGCATAGAATAAGTCCTAATTCGAGTAACTTAGTCTAGTCCGGATTGCTCCCCACAGGAAACAAATTGCTTACATTAGGGAAAACATACATGTGCTTGATATTTTATTTAGTGATATTTAATTTACTTTTTCATGCCTGTTTTTGGAGATAACACAATTTATGGATATGTAAATGGAAATACTGACATTTTAATAAATGATTGCTGTTTTAAAGACAGTTTTATAAAAGCTTTGATTCAGATATTATTCAGCTCTTACTTAGATGTTGGGGAGATAGTAGGAAGCAAAACAGATCAACATTCTCCTCATGGAGAGCCTGCGAAGATAAACCATAAGTAAAGTTAGATTGTGCTGCGGTGGAGAATGGTAAACAAAGCAAGGGGAAGCTTGGAAGTGCTGGCTTGGTGGGTAGGATTTTTCTTTCATACGGGGTAGTCCTGATAAGCTTCTCTAATAAGGAGATATTTGAGCTCTTGACGTGCAAAAAAATTTGAGAATGAGCCCTTGGATTCCAAGGCAGGTCTCAAGGCTTCAGCCTGGGCTAGTTGGAGCACCAGCAAGAGCTCCTTGTGGTTGCAGCAGATTGACTTGAGGGCAAGGGAGTGACGAGAGGAGTGGGTGCTGGAGCAGAGAGCCAAGGGGGCTGTTGTGTGGATTCTTGGCTTTTACTCCGAGGGAGCTGGGGAGCTCTAGGTGGGTTTTAAGCAAAGGAATACTTGCCTGATTTTACCTTTTAAAAATGGTAATTCTGGCTGCTTGTTAAGAGGTTATATGTGGACCTCGTGGTGTGGCAGGTTAAGCTGCTGCTCGGGACATCTGCATCCATATTAGAGTACCTGATTCGAATGCCATCTACTCCACGTTTCCAATCCAGCTTTCTGCTAATATGCCTGAGAGGCAGCAGATGATGGCTCAGGTATTTAGTTTTCCTGTTGCTCAAGTGGGAGACCTGGATGGGGTTCCTGGATCCTAGCTTCAGCCTGGCCTATCCCTGGCTGTTGAAGGCATTTGGAAAGTGAACCAGTGGTTGGAAGATCTCTCTGTCTGTCTCTCCATCTCTGTCACTTTGCTTTTAAAATTAAATAAAATATTTATATAGAGTTCAGAGTAGGATGACCAGGATGGAGACTGTTGCAATGATTCATATGAAAGTTGCTAATATCTGGGATTGGGATTGGGGTGGTACAGTGAAGTTGATGGGAAGTTAATGGATTTTGGTTATAATTTAAAGAGAGCTGACAGGATTTGTAAATAGTTTGGATGTGGGGTTTGAGTGAAAGAGAGGGAAGAATGGAGAAGATGACTCCTAGGTTTGAACCGAGCAAGTGGAAGGCAGCAGAAGCTGTTTCCTGTGGAGGGAGGTCACCAGGAAGAGCAAGCGAGCATGTGAGCCTGGACAAGGGCTTGGAAATCAGGATTTGGGTTTCAAACATGTTAAACATTGAGCTCTGTTGATTTTTTCTCTTGAATGTTTACTTAATATTATAAGAATGTTTCTTTAATCCTTAGGAAAGGGTAACAGTGCTGACATTTTTTATATCTAAGAAGCTGTTTTTATTCTAGAATATATGTGTAAAAACTTAGATGAAAAATAGTGACGAATACTCATGTAACTTACCGTCCAGGTTAAGAAACAGAACATTGTTGAGTACCTTAGAAACTGCACGGTAACCCGTCCTCCATTGTAACTGCCGTCTCCCCACAGGGGTAACCACTGTTTTGATTTTTTTCTTGGTAATTTCCTTATAGTTTTATGGTATCTTTGTGCCTAAACCATATATTGTTTCTGAACTTAATATAGAGAGAACCATACTGTTCTTTAATTACTTGCAATATTTACTTCAACTGCATTACATTTGCTCAATGTGTTTTGTTGACATTCTTGATTGTGGGATAGTTCATTCAGTCAGTGCTGCATAGTATATTGCACTGTGTGACAGTTCCGTGGTTTAGTGACCCTTTCCAGTAGAAGTGGGTGTATGGGTTTTGGGATCTTGCCATATCTGCTTCAACACTGATTCACGTTTGTGCCAGTATGACAGCTGAGGAATGGTTTCTCAAGGTGGTTTTCATTTGCAGTTCTCTGACACAAGTAGCTTTGAGCAGCTTTCCCTATGTTTATGGAACATTTGTGTCTTCTTCCATTTAACACCTGTTTGTGTCTTTGCCTGTTTTTCTGCTAGTTGTTTATTTGATTCATAAATTCTCTATTTTTAAAATTTTAATACAATATTTCAAAACATTTTATTATGAAATTTCGAACATACAGAGAAGTTGAAAGAATTTTATACTGAGCATCCCTATACCTACCATCTGCACTTTACAATTACCATCCCGTATCTTTCCATCTCCATCCGTGCACTAAGCCATCTCCTTTTTTTTAATGTTTTTCAAAGTAAGCTACAGATATCAGAACACTTCCTCCAAACACATCAGCATATATAGGGATATGCGTTTAGGGTTTGTTTTCACTAGAGATCAAAGTTATACATGTAATGATGCACACTGTATCTTTTGAATTTTGACTGATGGATAAACCCTTGAGTTAGAAACTCCTATCAAGATACTAAAATGATTTTTGTAAGAAATATATTCTGAAAGCTCAAATAAAAAATTTTAAAAGTACAGTTAAAATATCTTATTTCTGTTTTTATCTCCTCCACCCTGATTGCCCACTTAACCCACCCCTTGCTTCCCACTGGTAACTACTTGTATTAGTTTTTTATGTTTTTTCACAAATACATATAAATGTGATATAAATATGTGTTCTTATTCCCCCTTTTAAAATAAAAGCATGCTATGTACACTATCCTGACTCTTGTTTTAGTCTCTTAACTTTGCATATTGCTGTTCTTTGAAAGTCCAGTTCTTTTTTGTTCTTACAGTGTATAATTTTCCATTGCATTTTAAAACATTTCATAACTTATTTAACCAATTTCCTGTTGCTGGATATTTTGGTTATTTCTAACCTTTTGCTGTTCCAAACAATGCTTAAGTAACCTTATATAT